CTAAGATCTTAACAGCGTTTGCTTGCGTGATACTGCTCAGGCGTAACATTAACCGCGCGCCATCTCGACTTTTTTTTTTATGTTTGCGTTTACTTTGTGAGCACCAACAGAAATGAAAAATACGGTGACGCGACAAACTGAATGCAGCGATGCATGAAGCTATATACTGCAGCCAATGCTACAAGCCATCAAAGCCAATCCAGTGCTTTCACCCTGCCACGTGACATCGTGCTTCCCCGTGCAGTTGTACCCTACGGGTAGGCCACACTGCACACTTTTATTGATAGACTGGCCAAGATAACTCGTAGCTTCGGCTGCAGTACAACACAAAGTGAAACGGAGACTTCAGAAGGTACCAAAAAATAAAGAGAGTAATAGAATAAGAACTTCAAAGCTGGAAAAAAAACAAGTAAATTACACTTCAACAATGTCATTTCAACAACGACTGTTATTCGGCGAGCAAGTGTACCAAAATGCGTCCTGGGGTCACCGGAATTGGAGGAAGGCCACGCAAATTGGAGGGCAACATACACAACCCAGAGAACGCGAAGGAAAGTCGGAATGGCGAGGTAGCCAATGGCGTGCGTCATTCGTTGAGGTTGGGGGAAAGCTCGAACACGTTGTCTAAATTTACGCATAAACGAGCGCACGAGGTACGCAATGAGCAAATGACCTTCCAACCAAGCACTGAATGGTATCAGCAGCATACCGTTCTATACTGACAATACAAAAAAACTATGGCAGCGGTGGGATTCGAACCCACGCCTCCGAGGAGACTGGTGCCTTAAACCAGCGCCTTAGACCGCTCGGCCACGCTACCGATACCGTCGAGCAAGACGATTGTATATTCGAACAGTTGCCTATTGTATCGAGGTCGACCGGAGAACCAGTTCTTGCGGAGAAAATGTTCGCCTCATTCTAGTCATACCAGAGCAGAGAGCTTTCGTTGTCGTCAATTTTTGTTGTTAGGCACGTTGTAAATAACAGAGTGATGCCTCGCAACTCACTTTGTGCTTCAAGGTTCTATAACTTAACTCTTTATTCTTTTTTTCTAGGGATCTTTTGGACTCAAAAAATATTTGAGAGAAAGGCTTTTATGTCATTTGGATCAAGTAACATTGGGCATTGCTTTTCCGCTATAACATTTCTATAGCTGATTTTGTATTTTCTTCTCAAAATTATGAAAAATAACTTAAAATATTTAAGAAGACGTATTTTTGCGTATACTTTTGACTGCCCTATTCGCTTTTATTGTAAAAGTGCGGGTGTTCGTTTTGTTATAAACTGCTGCATACGATATTTATTTATTTATTTATTTAACCATAGGTAGGCCCTATCGTAGGGCATTAGAGAAGAAATCGGCAGCGGAAAGTTGAGATATTAAAAGAAAAAAAGGAACAAATGCGCTCAGGTGCACGTATTAATGTGAGTGTTTGTGCTCGTTCTCAAGTCTACTGTTTCCTTTTTATCTATAGGACTAATATAGAAAAATAAACACTTTCCTGCAATAACACCATAATTATGGATAATGGTGTTTGGAAATAATCAACTGAGTACAAGTGCCACGGCCACGATGTTTTGAACTCTGAATGGGATAAGCTAGTAAGGTCTCCCGCTTATCTTAATGTTTTTTCACGCAAAATTGGCGCGTTGGCACGTCTATTGAGGGAATGTTGTGGTTCGTTCGCTTTGGACAAGAGCCAGCTTCGCAGATGGGGGAAAAATACAAAAAAAAAAAACGAGATATTGGTAGGAAGGCGCTGCCTTTGCGATCGCTGCTGGCACTCGGAGCTGAGGTCACCCAAAGATTAAACCGGACATATATCCTCGAGCCACACGCAGCACTCTGTTCACCCGGACATGTGCACGCTACGGAAAGTGCACGCTACGGAAAGTTTGTAGCGACTAACTACCGTTAGTCGCTACAAACTAAACAAGTATAACTAAATACGTTACTCGTTATCGCGACTCAAAGGGAACGCGTTAGCTCAACTTGAAAATAATAGTTCTCACTCCATGTGTCGTTCTTATGAAGCAGTAGCCGCCTCCAGTTTTGTCGTCGTTATTAATTCCTTGCTTTTTAAAACGGGTTCGTTCAGGAGTAAAAGTGGCAATACTGACATATGTTCTGCACGTCTTTTTTATGCGGTCTATCTAGCGATTTCTCGTTGTGCAAACTACAGGTGCGAGCTGGGGGAAAAGGGGGGGGGGGGGGGGGGGAACTATACCCGTTGTCAACCTCAAGAACCATAGTAAAAAAAGTCCGGCTCCTCGCGGATGATTACTGATTTGATTTACCTTTTTATGTTGGTATTAAGGTATAGGTGAGTGAATTTTAGATTAGATACATGTTACCTTATCAAGACGTACACGCTACAGACGCCAAAATCATCGCTTTTTTACCCGACAGCCAAATCTCGTGAGAGCTGCTTCCCGCCGCGTTTAAACAATGCGCAAACCTTTTTTTTTTTTTTTTTTCTTGAGGTGAAAACGGGTATAAGTAAGCTGCTTGCATCGTACACGTTCTCCTCGAGGAAGTACTAAATACTGTTACACGTTATCTCATTAAAAGGCAACGAATATACGTCACTCGTTCCTACTTTTAACCCCTTAACCGTTTTACTGACTCTCAACTGCTTAATCGTTGTTTTCAATCACATTTGTTGCCTTCAAGATCAAGTTTATAGCCACAATAAAAACAGGGGAGCAAAATTTTAAAAACAACATCAGTGCCGCCATTTGTTGGCGGATCTTTCAAATTAGGCCTTGAGCGAGCCTGGTAAGTCCAAAACAGTTGAGCGAGTGAACCGGGAAAATGAGGTGAGGCATTCTCGTCCTGAACGGTTTGGGGACGGCTCCACGTCGACGTGCTGTAGGCTCTTCCAAAACAGTTAAGGGGTTAAACTTTTTTTTTTTAAAGTAACTAGGCCATTCCTTCGTTACCGAATAAAGTAACTAAGTACAAGGTACGCGTTACTCGAACTGCGTTACGTACAAATCTGCATTCAAACTCTAGGATGACAGGCCAGTGGACGCTACGATCTGACCGAACCAATCAAACGCCTCCCTTTCATCACCTAAGCCCGCTCTCGGCATGACTGGTCCATTGAGCACGCAGCTCCTGCCGCACTGTCAGCTTAGGTGCGAACGGAGTACACGAGGTGCTGGGTATTGCCCCTGTGGAGCACTTAAGGATGTCTTGCGAGTTTATGCAGCTTGACGCGAGTTTGTTGGCTCCAGTGTCGGATAAATGTCTATCAAAACGCTGCCATTCATTGAAAGAACTTGTTGCGCAGAATCGGCTGTTATTCGTGTTGATTTATTTTCTCTAGGGGCCCCAGTGTTCGAGACATTCGTAAGTGTAACAAACCAGCGACGTCTTCTATCTCGCTCAACGATTATTTTTCGTGGCTACAAACGCAAAGTGTTTTATTTTGGGCGATTATTCTCCGCATAAATTGGAAATTTCCCTGCACATTTCACTGCGTTTCTGTATCATCTCTTTTTTTCTATCTAGTTTCGATTGCGGTTTATCTTAACCTTACACTTAATCGTGGCTGTAGGCATGTGCAGACCGCATGCATAGCTCACATTCACGCATGAGCATGCCATACAATTACTTTTTATGTCATAAATTACATTACATAAACAAACTAAAAGTGACTATTTTTTATTTAAAAATAAGAAAGCTGTTTCCAAAGAGGGAAGAGGGGTGTTTGGCTAGGGATAAAAACAGAAGCCTTCATAAAACACAAGCAATGTCGACGCAGTGAAACCCCCCGAATATACGGCCCTTTTATTGAATTTATTTTGCTTTCTACTTTTACTGTACCTCAACACCCTGACTGTAACACAATTAGCTGTTAGCCTAGTTGGTTACACATCACGAGTCTCAAAATGCGCAAAGCACAAGAACAACAATCAAAAGTGCGAAGGAAATTCAAAAATCGCACGTGCTGTCTTCTACCACGATCCTTGTGCTTCGCGCTTTTTGATGTTCGCGACCCTGAATGTACCAAGTTGGTCCTTGGTTTTCGCCGGTACAGCCAGTAGATAGAATACATGAAATCTTGGTAAAAAAATCAAGATAAAAAAATATAAATTGCATTCGTTCGATAAAAATCAGATTTATTTCAATCATATTTACATAATTGTTATCACAGCTATAAAATCGTGATTATTTTATATTTGATGTATTTTTACACATGGCATATTGATTTATCAATCCGTCCGATGACTGAAAACAATGCGGAAGAAAGAATTACTATCAGTACGGTATAACCAACAACTTTCGTTGTATAAACCGCGCAAGAGTACAAGAAAAACAGTCTCAATTTTTAGTAACTAAACGAGCTTCCTTTTTCTTTCTTTTTTTTCGCATTCTGATTTGCTTGCATAGGACGCTAAATAAATGACGCAAGGAGTTGAAAGCTCGAAAGAATGCTCAACGTTTTGATTTGCTCAGACAACACAATAAGTTTCGCTCGCGTTCAGTCTCATAAATTGTTCCTGGCCGATGATTTTTTTAAAATTAAATACAGTAAGATTTGCCTGCCACATCAAATGCTAAACAAATGATAAATAAAAATATAGTTCTACGATTATTTTTTTCTTATTTTTGTTTTATATAGGTCAGAATGTAAAACCGGTTTGATTTAAAACCAGATTCAAATTCTGCTTTTAATCACAGATTAAATTATCAACATTTAATAATTCATTCACTTATTTCTTGCCGTTTTTCCTGCTGCTGTTCTTGTTGTCGTTGTTGTTGTTGTTGTTGTTGTTGTTGTTGTTGTTGTTGTTGTTGTTGTTGTTGTTGTTGTTGTTGTAGTTGTTGTAGTTGTTATAGTTGTTGTTGTTGCTATTGTTGTTGTTTCTGTTGTTGTATTTGCTGTTGTTGTTGTTGTTGTTGTTGTTGTTGTTGTAGTTGTTGTTGTTGTTGTTGTTTTGCTCGTGAACGGCTCAAGCCTTGGTAATGATGCACGACCAGTGAGACCTTGATGTTTATCCTCCGCCCTGCATTCGACGAATTGCAGTTCGGAGAACGGAACTCCGGCACCAAGACGCTGAGCGGCCAGGCCCAAGACTACGATGTCCTGTTCGAGACGTGCCGGCAGAAGAAGGCACTCTTCGAGGACCCCGAGTTTTCGTGCAACGTGTCCAACGTGTACGGCAGCAAAACGCCCGAAGAAAAACTTCTCTGGAAAAGACCGCGGGTATGCCACTAAGACTTTTATAAGAGACCCTAAAAGACAAGAAAACAAAAAACGTCAAGCAAAATTGGCGGTCGCCATTTCTTGTTGACGTAGGCCTCGTGTCGAATCCACGCTCAGGGGTACGCTCCCAAACAATGGCGGCCTTGGATGGTTGGCAGATCAGCCGCTAGACAGCGCGCGTGGTTTTGAAAAGGGTCAATTGGAGTGATTAGTTATCCAAGATAAGCACTACCTTGGTAAAAATTGGTATACTCAGGGTTAATGAATTTTTTTCATTAAATAAAAACGAAATAGTGCCTTTAATCTTCGCTTTCAATATACTTCCATGTTCTGAAGTTACAACCTTAATACAATTTTACCCATTCTTGAGTAAACTTCTTCAGAAATATCATTTATTGTAATTACAACTATACTTCCTTTGAAATTTAGTTAATTGCGACCCAAATTACCAGCGTAAAAAGTAGTTAAAGCAACTATAAAGTGCTTGGAGAAGGTAATAAAATTACTTTGGGATTCCTTTGCTCTGAGAGTCAACCGACTACCATTCAGTTGATGTGATAACTTTTTTTTTCCCCACCGAGATGCATTTGTTCATACAATGTCTGATCGTTGAGGATTTATAATACGGTGATTCACATTCATCGCATTTTGTGACTCTGACCTGCTTCGTCGATGGCAATAACAAGGGTAATAAATAAATATGTCTAAAGTCCTCACCTCCTTTTCAGTCGCTCCATAATATTTGTACGATCGGCGAAACTGCATTGAAAAGCCCGCAGACGTGTAACACGATCGAAATATACGCGCAAGCGAGGACAACTTTCAATATTCTCGTCACTGAATTTAGCCAGAAATATAGCTTTCCTGGCGAATTTCCGTAGTTAAGGCTTATACCTACACAAACAAATCGCATATAAGTTTGTGATAATAATAATCTATTTTCTTTTATTTACAAAAAAGGGAGATAGGGCAAAAAGCTGCGTGGCTTGCAGCTTGACGAGGACCTACTCCGTGTAGCAAAGCAGCAGAGACATTTCAAACAGGACAAGCAAAAAACAAAGTACTACACCTTCTTGCATCGATTATCTACAAAAAAAAAGTCGTTAACACTGTTTTCCAATAGCGTTTCGCGTAGCATACCCTTTGATTTTTTAGTAATGTCAATATTTTCACCTTCGAGCTCATTTAAAAGTGACGGTAGTGTATGTTTTAAAGAAGTTAGCCCATAGTTCGTGTGGGAAGTAGTAACACACCAGGGGGCCCTCACTAGTTTCATACGTCGGGGTTGTTCTCTCCAAGCCCAACAGTACAGAAAGAAAAAAGTTGTTATTTTGTTTTACTGCCGTATTGTAGACTCCCATCAAACGATAGTTGTACAAATGCTTAATTGTCACAGCTTTATGCTCACGAAAAAGCTTATCCGGTAACACTCTGTGTCACCGGATAAAGTAGTACGAGTACAGAAAGAGCGTCTCGTGTTCGGTTATTGAAGGATCAGAGTAAGAAAGGAAGGGTTTGGCGACATCCTTCCATGTCTTTGGTGGGTTGCTGCATTTCATTGCTTACTTGGTATCTCTGATTTCGCACCGCCAGCCTTGCGCTTATAGCACAAGTTCAAACTTTGGTGCACAACCGCGTTGCCCACGTTTTCCAAGTCTTCCCAAAATTTACTGATTTGGTGGCTTTCAATGACGGTGGGCAAGTTTATAATTGAACTGTATGTTTATCTTCAATTGATGAAAAAGTTAGTAAACAAATTTCAGCCAATTCACTGACTCCTCCTGACGATTGCGCCCTGCATTATGTCCACCTCGCCGTACAACTCTCGCGCCTTTGGTGTAGCATTCATGGCCTATTAAAAAAGTATGTGAGGCAAAGAAGAAATTACCTGTATATCTACTCCGTGCAGTAATGTTACTATATCAGGTGACAGTAATGTGACTCACAGCCCATCGTGTGAAACACGTTGGCGTAGCCGTGGAAAATCGTATAAATTTTATACCGCCGAGATTCAAAAATAACAAAAATTGGGTATTTGAGAAAAAAAAAATATTACCGGGACGTAACTGCCAGCCATAACAATTTTGTCGGGAATCGAAAAAAAAAATTAAAGACGTTTACAATTTTTTAGCGCAGCTCTTGAAGAGGAGGGGAAAGGGTACTGAGGGAAGGGTATGCCCCTCCTACACCTCTGTAACCTCCCTTCCTCCTCTCCTGCTCTCCTCCCATTTAGGGAAAAATTTTCGATTAATTTCACGCCAAATTTAGCGGTGAGATATTTCCGATAAATTTAGCGGGGGAGATTTTCCCTCTAACTTTAACGGGGAATTCTTTTCGCTAAATTTAGCGGGGAGCATTTTCTGCTAAATTTAGCGAAAAAAGTTTTTCCGATCAATTTAGCGAAAAAATATTCCCGCCAAATTTAGCGAGAATATTTCCCCCTAAATTTAGCGTTAAAATTTAGCGAAAAGTTTCCCGCTAGATTTAGCGGGGAATTTTTTTTTTTTTTTCATAATGCAACGCGCAGTTACACCCGCTTGCATTATTCCCATAATGTAACACGCGCGGTTACGACGACGCCGGCGACGACGCCGCTCAAGTCGGAAACGGGCGTCTAAGAGCCGCACTCTAAAACGCGCTAATCAGCTAAATAGTAAACTAAAATATACTAGTTACCTTTTGACTATTGAAAATAAACATATGGTTTCAAATAAAAACTTTCCGATTATAATCGAAAAACCCCTAAATCAGCTTGTTTTACAAATATACAAGGCAGGTGCCGCACTTTACGGCGTTCCAAAAACAAAACGTTCAATTTTGGCGCGTTTGTAGATTCCGGTTTTCTGTCGTAGCGCATCTTTGCTCTAACGCTCTTGACTCTACGTGACCGAGGCGTGATACTACCGCCTCATTTTCCTTATAGGATGGAGGGAGTATGGTCACCGGGAAGGGGGGGGGGGGGGGGGGGGGGGGGGGCAAGACTGTTGGCGCAAAGATGCGCTCCTATAGAAAACCGAAACGTAAAAACGCGTCCAAATTGAGCGTTTTTCTTGGAACGCCGTAAGACGCTACACCCGCCTTATAACTTTCTTATCAATCACACGTTTCTTTTCTTCCCAACCACTCGATTTTTAGGGATTTTTGAAGGATTCGTCAACAACCCCGCATATTAAGAAAAGTAACAAGTAAGAAAATATACGATGTGGCATACCTTGTGTAAAATGTCGCTGGTTATTAACTATCTCGCTCAAAAACGTGTTTTCTATATGACCTCTCATGAGGACTGTTCCAGTTTTCTGCGTACTTAGACGAAGACTTTATTCAATACTCTTCAATAATATAACAATCGCACGCAAAAATTGCCAATAAACATGTTCCATAAAATAGAATCAGATCCCCAATGCATTCATCACAATTATACTAACAGAACAGAACAACAGCAAACACATTACGCCACATGCATTCCCACCAATCAAGAGCCTGCACAAACTGTGGTACACAAAAGAAAAAAAGTCTCATCAAATATCACAGCTACTAAACACTAACCCAGAATCAAATTATGCATAGCTCCACAAACGTGCAGATATAAAATCTTTTAAAAATACATTTCTTAACTTTAGCGTTGAATATTGAAATAGCTTTGCCACTTAAGAACTGCCATTGTGTAGTGTATTCTTATAAAATATTAAATAACATTTTATATCTGTTCAATTATATATTCAATAACATTTTGATTTTTTTTTTTTTCATTTTTATATTTTTTCGTTGCTGTGCTGCTGAACCGTTAAGAGGATATGGCATACTCAGGCGGCATGACTGGAGTTTTGCCCCTTCCTCCTAAACGCTTGTCTGTATAAAACAATTTCAGAGCGCAGCTCTTAGTTTCCGGCTTGAGCGGCGTCGTCGGCGTCGGCGCAACCGCGCGTTGCATTATGGCACGTTTCCCTTAATGACGTCAAACGTGACGTCTAGTGTGACGTCACGAGGGTTGTCCTCGTGAGGGTTACAGGGGTTACCCTCACGAGGCTAACGAGGGTAACATCACGAAGTTACCCTCGTTATGTCACACGTGACGTCCCGTGTGACGTCAGTCTTGAAGACACGTGACGTATGACGTCACGTGACGTCACACGCACCTAACATTGCCAATATTCCCGCTAAATTTAGCGGGAAACGTTTTCCGCTAACTTTGGCGGAAAAATATTCCGGCTAAATTTACCCTCGAGATGTCACGTGTGACGTCACGAGGGTAAAATTTTCCCACGAAATTTAGCAGAAAAATTTCCCCGCTAAATTTAGCGGGGAACGTAGAGGAGCATACTGTCTCCTCCGTACCCTCCCTCCCCCATTGAAGAGCTGCGCTCTAATTCGGCGTTACAGGAAATTGTAAACGTATTTTTTTAATTTGAATTTGAAGAAAGCAACTATCCTACTAGATTAAAAAGCTGTTTTGGATACACCAGGTAGAGTAACGTGCTACCCACACAAGTTCAGCCGCTGTCGTTCCCACCTTTTTATGTGGACATCCTCGGCATGACTGCATTACCAAAAGCTTACGCATTGCGTGTATTTTTGCACACTTTTCAGGAGCTCTGCGAGAATCCTCAGTTCATCAAGGACGGATTTTCCCGCTTCGACGTCAAGCAGGGAGAATTAGGTAGGTCCTATATATTCAAGCTTACGATATAAGACGTACCTTGCCGAAAATGCGGGAAAATATATTTACTAAATATTAATAACTGCTCTTCGCATTAACATGACTAATTTGTTATTGTCCGAAAGCTGTATAGTTTTCACACCTGATTCTAGTACAGTTATATTGAAGACAGCGTTGGAAAAATTATAATTAAAAAGAAAACTAATAAATCAGATTTTTTTATTTAAATCTGATTCATTTGATTTAAATCACACAAACTTTATTTAAATTACTTATTTATAAAATATTCCTGACAGATTGATTCATCAAACCTTCTGTAAGAAATAATTACTGTAAACATGAAGTGCTGTTTAATTAACAACTGCTTTATTGAGTAAACCCCGCCGTAATAGAACAAAAACAGCTTCATATTTTTTTTAGTTAGTAAAAAAGCTTTACTTGCTTTTTCTCCTCTGTTCTGTCTTTTCTGCAACAGGACGTTACTTTTCGAGTTTTAGTTTTTCTTTCACGCTCTTATCTCACGTTCTTATTCATCTCACCCAGCTGTGTCTGGAGTTTGTGTTTGTACTTTCCCCGCCTTGTTCCCCTTCTCCGTGAATCATTATCCTCAAAGCAGTGTACCGTTTTGATATCGCGGTAGTCTGGACGCATAGGGCAATCTTTCCGGGAAGAGCACCACGAACGAGCACTTTAGCGAAGCGAACGAGTCTTTCCCGGCGCGGCGTCTGCAATAAGCATCTCAGAGTCGATAAGTGCGTTACTTCTCGTCGTCATACCTCTCGCCCCGAGCGCCCGACCTGCCTACCCAGCTGCGAGCAACTGATATGTTGTTGTTGGTGGTGGTGATAATGATGACGATGTTGATGATGATGATGATTTTGAGGCTATTCCCTTTGAAGCAGGGCGTTGAAATCGCATTCATACCTAGCCAAAATAGAAAAGAACAAAAATACTTTTCACCACTCCTGCGTCCTCCGCCATCAATCTTTCAGCCATGTTTTTGCCCTTTCAACGGCGTCCCTGCATTGCCAGTTGGGTTTCGGCGTCTCTGCTGTGCACGTTACCTCCTCACTAGGGCAGCCACCTGCTTAAATCTTGCGAGTTTCTGCACCCTGCGTTGCCCCCCGTACTCGGAAGCCTAGCGCTTCCACCAGAAATTGGTCGCGTGGGAGGCCCTCGCCACATGGCTGCTCATGTCTGGCGTTTTCCACCCATTTACAGTGTGTTCTGGCAGTAAGCTTGGACATGAGGGCAGATTGTGTTCGCTGGTTTCAGGCGTTTCGCCGCATGCTCGATAGGATGTTTATTCCACCATATGATCAAACCGCTGACGATACACCAACGTTCTCATCCCCCCCGCGTGCATCAAACAGCAGGTGGCTGCCCAGACTATTGTCAAACAAGGCTTCCTCTGATATTTACCTCTCCAGAGATTGTACACCTCCAGTGTTGACTTAGACCGGGCCGCCTCTGCCCTCTGCCGAGCCTCACAACGCATTCCCTTCGTCGCCCCCATTTGCCACGTCTGCTCTACAGCAGCGGCGGGTACTGAGAAGCCCTAAATCTTTTCCAGCTGGTATAGTCTCTTCCTTCACTCGGTCTGCGTTCCTGTCAGGTGGATGCATACGAACAGTTGCTTGGCACATCGACTTAGTTTCATGAATCGCAGCCGCCCGTCTTAGTTGCTTCTCTAACTTCGAACGACGACCAGCCATGATCCCCTTCGACAACCTCGTTGGCGACCATTCCGTAGGAGCATGGCGCCTGCCTTTGGACTTCTCACTGCCGGCGTTCCGGTGTGTCTCGCAGGTCTCCGAAAATGCACACAACTACGTCAGGAAACGTTAAAGCCGGTGTACCATGGCTCCTTTCCATAGTTCTCTTGTTACAAGAAAACGATTGCAGGTCCAACGATTACGCGCAAAGAACGCTGGTACTTCGCACAGTAGTTTTTCTAAGGTGTAGATGATGTTTCGCTATATATTCTCTCATACTAATGAGTAGAATATCCAGATGCTTGTCGTTGTCTTGCACAGGCATCCGCTCGCCCTTTGCCACACAATGATACAGATTCCGTTCTTCTAGCCCAGCCAGTTGCACGACGGCCGACGTTTTATTAATAAATATGCGAATAACGCAAAAAGCAAGTTATAGCCATTTAATTGATTGGTTTTCATCGTCACGCGGCCTTGATGATGATGATGATGATGAATAAGGTGGTGGTGGTGGTGGTGGTGGTGGCGGTGGTGTGCTTTTTTTTTTTTCGTCGGTTCGGAAGCTCTCCAGGTGTAATCTAGATTATACTACCGCATTTACTCAAGTAATAGACGCCATATGTAATGAAGAAGGCCCCTCACGTCTACTTTCTATCGTAACATACGTATTCAGTCAATCATGATCATGTTCTGTATAAGAAACGTAACAAATACCGAGGTCTATAGAACACGATTCTTCATAAACTGCGATCTGTGCAGATAACACTTTTGAATGAAGATGTTATCGGCGTCCTGTAAATTGCCGGCATTTTCCTGCCGATCGCAGTGATTGCCTGACTGGCTATCCGCGCGCTCCGAAGGGAAGCGAACTCCTAGGGATTTCTCTTAACGAGTACGTTTATTCCTCCAGTAAGTATGCTAAACAGCAAAACTAGAGAGTATCGCTGTTGTTGTTGTTGTTGTTTGTTGTTGTTGTTGTTGTTTTTGTTGTTGTTGTTGTTTTTGTTGTTGTTTAGCATTTAACTTTTTTATCTGTGGAAAATAGATCGCATGCACAAAAATGTTTCTAAACGATGCGGAGAAGCGGCCTTGCAGAGAGCGTGAGTTCTGGGAGGAACATATCGTTCACTTCGCGCTCACCGTATACCAATACTGTCCACTGAGCTCGGACAACCGGAAGCCTCTTGAACCTTTGAACGTTACGTGTTCCATCGACAGGCACATGACGAATATGCAGCGCATGCGCGCGCGCTTCCAAGAAAGGAAGTTATCGCGTGTGCACCGCAGCGCCAACTTTGATCGCAGGCCGACCGCACGCCGCCGCCGCGTCTCCCATACGAGCGACTGTCGCTTCCCCAAAAGACTTGGTTCAGAAACGACAATCCATCGCTCCTGGCGACTAGACATTTCGGTACCTCCCTCTCACTGTTCAAATATGTGGCATCACAACCAGGATAATTCGGTCGCCAGCGAAAATTTGAGTGGCGTCTAACAAGCACACGAGAACGTGGTAGTGATTACGTCCTTAAAGGCCGACGACGAGACTCGAAATTCTGCAAGGCAGAAGAGCCTCCTCACGAAGGGGGAGGAGGAAACAGGCAACGGTGGACATGGTAGAAGGGTAGAGAGGAGAGAGCGAGGGAAAAGTGGAAAGCGCGAACTGGTCGTCGGCCTTTAAACCGACACCGTCGAAGTTGACAGTCTAACATACTTAATACGTGCATTAATGAAAGTATGATTAATTCATGCTCAAGACGCCATTGTGAGAGTTTGACCCATTGCGGAAGACAAACCACAGCACGCCTTTGGTCGCGCACGTTGTCGATACTCTGGTCCAGAAAGTTGGGCATATCCCGGTATTCTGCAGTCACTGACCTATGTGAAGGAACGCAGAACATAGCAAGCCCTGTGAATCTCATTATTGCTCCGCAGTCAATGTTATTACGCCATTCAGCAATAAGTAGACCATAGAATTAATCGCAAAGTATACCCGTCAAAAGCTTCTCCTTACGTTTCTTTTGTCTAGACCATGGGTTGACCTACTACGCCATGCAACTTCCCGGAGGAGATAGTTCAGGGCGCTTGATGCGCTGCCAGAAGTATGAAATGTAGCAGCTTTATAGGGTTGACGGTACACCTTGTTCGGGCGGTGCCTAGGTCAGGATGACCCTTGAGGCCCATTCACACACTTGCGTTTCATTACGACAGAATGAGAATCAAGACTGGTTTTTTAGGCATCTTGGGACGGTTTACGACCGGCTGCGTTGCTGCAGGGTCTAAGGCGTCGCAAAAGGCTTAAAATATGTATTTTCTGAGTCGGTCGTAGTCAAATGCTAGTGTGTGAACGAGCCTTGAGTCTATAAGTGCCTTGGGAGGGGGGGGGGGGGGGTGGCGCTTCTAGTACTGGTGCTTTCTAGAGCAGGATTTTCTACGGAAACCGATGAGGTCACATCATTGTCTTCCTTGTGACTCTGCGTGCGATTCCGTTCGGCACCACCCTGATACAAGAGCCTTTCGCTGAATTTTTTGGGTAGCCAAGAAAGAGAGAGTGCCGTTGCCTGATATTTTCACTCCTCGTTTCGCCCGCTCTTTCTACAGTACCTTTCTTGTATGCTCTTTTCTCCACCCCTCCCCTCCGCCCGCTCTCCTACGCCCTCTGTTTCTACTCCTCCCATTCCTGGGTTCTGGTTCCGTAGCTGGGTCGGCTGCGCACTTGGCTTCCACGCCGGCAACCGGGATTCAATGCCTGGCACCGGTTGCCGCTTTTTGTCAATATCGTTCAGTGGTCACGGGCTGACCGACCTACGTACACATTTCGTGCTTACGTGGCTCCCGAGGTTGATTGGCCCTATAAAGCTACATATCTAAAAGTACGCGGTAATGCCGAACCTAAAGAAAAAAAGACTATTGGGCACTAAAGTATTAATGTGAGCTAAATAATGAACGCAAATATCATGAAGGAAAGACGAGGACATGGCCACGGGTACCAGAGTCAGCTCTCGTCCCGTCTTCGCGTACATGTTCTTGTCTGTCCTTTTGCGCTACTTAGGCTGGTTGACACATTTTTATCGGTTTCGTTCAGACCAACCAAAAAGATAGCAACGACCGGAACGCCGGGACAACCGCGACTCATGATTGCTTCACCAAGCCAGTTTTTGCATTCCTTGTTGTGTACTACGAACACAACTCCCGGTAACTTTGTCATTGCTGTCGCTTCGGTCGCGCTGAACGAAACCAACGCAACTGTCTAAACCAGGTTTTACGTCCATTCCGCTATTGGAAAGGAGATCGAAACTTTGCGCCTCTAGCGGTACTCTTCAGCAGGGGAAGGAAGGGAGCGGGGGGAGGAGGGGGGCAACAAACATATTGTTTTTTATCAGAGAAATCGAATAAAACGTTTCAAAGGCCTCTCCTCGTGCGACCAAAGCACTGGTCAGAGAGAAGCGCTCGTGCCAAGGCCGTGTTAGGCGAGGTTCACTTTCTTTGTTATGCTGCGTTGGTAAACAGCGGGCCATGGGGACAAGCTCGATAAAGATGGGCAGAAGATCGAATGCAGGTATGCATTCGATCTTCTGCCCATTCGAACACCAGCCTCTAGCACGCACGTGCTCCATGCCTTCCACCGTCCTTTGACTGCGAGCACTTGCGCTCAAGGAGCACGAGACGCGCAAGCGTTGCCGAGGATAGAGAGCTCGCGCTGGAGGAGGGCAAACTGAAGTTCCTCCCCACCTTTCTAACCCTCTCGTTGGCTATAGTGCGCACGTCTGACTTTCAACATGATACTGTACCTATTGGCGTTCGGCATCGAAGATAATTATTATGTCGTTTTGTTTGCTCAGGTAATTGCTGGATGGTGGCCTCAACGGCCATCCTGGCTATGCACAAGGACCTTCTGGCCCGCGTTGTCCCGGAACCCCAGAGCTTCGACGAGGACAAGTACGCGGGCATCTTCCACTTCCGGCTGTGGAAGGACAACCGCTGGGTGGATGTGTCTGTGGACGACAGGCTTCCCGTGAACGAGGACGGAGAACTCCTCTTCATGTGCTCCCGCGCCAAGGACGAGTTCTGGAGTGCGCTCCTTGAGAAAGCCTTCGCCAAGTAAGTTGTTTCATCAGTCCTCGGTAGAGATATGTATGCGGTTGGCCACTTTCCAGCGTTTTGAATCGCTCTGAAAAGCCGATGCTCATTCGACTGTTTGAAGACGGGCGCTCTAAGTATATTCGGCTTGTTATTTCAGAGCGCTCTCAGGTTTTCGAATCGCGCCTTCCTCTGACGCGTAGAGCTTTGAGGCGCTCTGATTTCAAAGTGGGAGTGGTGGGAGCGCGTGCCAGAAGAACGGTCACGTGACTCTACCCACTTCCGCTGTTGGGTTGAAACAGAAAGAAACAAATAAGGCCGAGAGGCTTAGCGTTGGACACCGCCATGCTTGAAGACCGTACCGACCCCGCTGTGCTGTACAGTGAGGGCAGGAGACTTTCGCAGCGAAAACCAGCGTCCTCACCGAAGGCTGCCATTTTTTGTGCGGGCGTGCGGACATGCGGCGGTGGCGCTGGTGGTGCGACGTGCAGGGATGCTAAATTTTACAAATATAGTATTGACAATGGTATTGGCTATATCCTCATAATTCGGCCGGGAACTTGCGCGATGGCCGTGGAGCGGCTGAAGATTTACCTTTCGTATCCGGCACCGTGTCTGTGCTCTGGGCACTCGAAAAGGTTGCCAAACATTCGGGTGAGGCGCCGTTCCTCTGACTGGGATCTGGAGACGCCCCTCGATCTCCCAGATCCGATTCAGAGGATTGGAGCACTGGAAAACGACCAACCGAATATACCAAGTGTCTCCGTTTTTATTTCTATACAGTGAGAAACTGAGGCAGAGGAGGATATGAGAGCTTGTGGTGGTGTCAGAGCGCCGAGCTCCGACTGAAAAGACTAAAGGGTTCGCAAGGGCGAACCCTATTGAAAAATTTATTTGAATGAGAATTTTTAGTGTCCAATAAACACATATGCATCATGCAAAATATATCAGAACATATAAGAACCATATAAGAACTATATAACATATATAATAACATATCAGAACAATATAACAAACTTCTCACAAGTTTCTTATATGGTTCTTATATGTTCTTATATATCTTATATAGTTCTTATATGGTTCTTACAATGTTCTCTTATGTTCCTATGTATCTTGTATGATGCATATGTGTTTATTGGACACAAGACATTTATCATACAAATGGCTTTTTCACTAGGAAAAGGCAAGTTAATTTACTTCCGACAGCTTACGACCGAGTGTCCTTCCACCTCGTGTGGTTTCTTACGACGAGAGAATACACTGCCGCCATCTATCGAGTAGAACACTTGCAATTCCCGTATATTTCCTCACTAAGCCTTGCAGTCTTCACTAACTCAAAAGGTGCTCTAATGCAATTGGTTCAACAAAGCGTGTCCAGTTGCGAAATCGATTGCCCAAGTAACGCGAAAAGCAAGCAATGCGGGCATCACAATTTACTTTCAGTGGTACCATCGCACGTAGGAATACTGGGAATCGAGGAAGCAGATGGTCTCGCCTTAGCAGAGTACGCAGATACCTGCCCAACAACTGCCCTGAAGTACAATTCCGCACACACCATAATCCACCCAAAAATTACAAAATAACACCCCAACGCTAAGACGGCAGCTGGATTTCCCCCATTTCTGGTACAAAAGAAAACATTCAGCTATAGACAAGAATCGTAGCTACATATAGAGTGAGAACAGGTTGCTCAAACGCGCAACTGCTCAGACAATCAAACACAGCGGTTTGCAGCTCGTGCAACCAACCCTAAGACATGGAGCATATCTTCTGGGTACGTCCAAGGTATCAGGATCCCGAAAAGCACTACTTCAGAGCAACGGCCAGCTTGACATCAGTGCCGACACAACGCGAAAACTCCCATTCACGACAGGTGCACGGGCCAAGCGATTAGCTGCGCTCCAGGCGGTGCTGGACTTCGTGGAAGCAGCGGAACTGTCTTCTAGACTCTGAACCTGAATGAACAACCTTTTCTCCCACTTTTAACTTTGTCCACTTAAATCTGTTATCCCCTCTCTTTTTCCCAACAGGACGAGAAAGCTGTCCCCAACTTTGGGAGACAAGTATTTCGTTCTACGCCTTCCATTTCTTTCCCTTAAACTATTTTTGTTGATTTATTTAATTAATTTTATTACACACTAAACAACAAACAACCTGTATTTTGCGAATCATACTAATAATGTTGGCTTCAACTACTTTTGACAATTTTATAAACGACCACTGTGTGCAATTAAATGCAAAAGAGCAAGCGAGCTGAACAAGAATTATGAAAATAATCCCTGGAGAAAGGGAACAAGGGTGAGAAAGGGCGAACACAAATTTCCAAAAACTAGAGTGCCTTCATGTGCGCTTCGCATAGAGTGATGCCAACTGCCTGTTTCCCTTTCCCACACCCTCTTCCACCGCCATTTTGTTTCTCTTATTGTTTCCCCGTGCGCCGGGAAGTGGCCTTTGTGTCCATCGGTAATCCCATAGAGGGGGAAAATGCTAATTCTCCCTCCGTGGGTTCCACAACGCTGCTCCGAACTTCTGAGATAAGGTGCTTGTTTCCGGGAGGGTTATAAGCCCCACGGATAATCGCCGAGGAACAAAATGGCTGCTGGTTTGTCGGCGAGTGGTATTACAAAGGGTGGCATTACCCTAGCAAAGCGCACATGAAGGCTCCCTACCAAAAACAGTTAGGTGACTGGTACGCGACCGAAGAAATCCGCCTGGTCCGGGTATCGCTCCACCGGAAATGGAGGAGTCCCTGTTTTGGGCTCCACCGGAAATGGAGAGGTCCCTGGTTCGATATCAGAACGAAGTGGATTTTTCCGGTCGCGGACCAGTCACCTAGCCGTGTTTGGAGATATGTGTTTGTTCTTTGCCCCCATTATTCCCCTTCTCCAGGGATTATTTTCGTCGGCACTTCTTATAGGTTGTACCTGCGCTTGATGTCGCAAATACCGCAAATCAATCGGTTTAGTAAAAATGCACTTTCACGGCCACCCTTCAGATGGCGACAGAATTCCAATGGGTTCTCCCGACATAAGGGATTACAAGAACTCGGTCGAAAGCAAGCGCAAGTGCATAAACCCGCGCTCCTTAACTGCCAGTGTCTGCTCCTCGCGCAGACTCCGTAGTTCGAACGCCGGGCACTGGTGTTCGGCGTTTGGCGTTCGAATGCCACTGATAGTCACTAAACCGCTGGTCATGTGCCAGGTCTTAACGACTATTGAGTCACCATATTCAGTAGTGCGTTACTTTGACATTTCCAGCTGACCTTTCGTTAACAACCTATTTGTAGACTCCACGGGGGCTATGCTGCGCTGGAAGGAGGTAGTGGCGTCGAGGCCATGCTCACCTTCACGGGAGGACTGTCAGAGCAGATTGACTTGTCCGAACCACACAAGGATTTTTATAAGACCCTCCAAAAGGCCTTTGAGAGGTCTTCTCTCCTGACTTGTTCCATTCTGGTGAGTGCGTAACCCTCTGGGGGTTGCATACTTTATATTGTCAACTACTGAAACGTTGCATTCGGTGCAGTGCACGTCAGGGGAGTTGAGTGGCGATTTTGTTTTGTCGATCAGTTTTGTCTTGTCAACTATCAGAACGTCCCAGTGGAACAATGAAGTTTTGGAAAATTTATTACAACGTTCGTTTTGCTTTTTGCTGAAGGTGTTTGTTTATATTGCTACTGGACCGATCTTGCTTGGCGTATTCGCGGCGAGAGGTTTAAGTATAGCCGCCTAGTGGAATTTTTCGCAACCCGGGGTGAGGGTACTTCAGCTTCCTCTGCTGGTGCAGGTATGTCCAATGACAAGCTTCTATGTACTATGAAAATTAAAATATAATCGCGTGGGTCGCGTGCACTATTCATAGCGAGGAAAACGAAAGCTCCCCCAGTGAGATTCTCACGGCGAATATAATAATGCCTCAAGTAATGGCCAATGCCAGTCTTCTGTGCAAATTGCTTCCACTCCTACCGCCAAAGACCCTCCTTCAAAAGCTCTTGTCTTTAGATGGGCTCGGGCTGTTGCGTTTTAGACGTTGCCCTATAGATGGGGTAGGTGCAGAAATATGAGTTTTATTGATGATTAGGTAGCCTGACTGTCCGTGGCTTTTGGTAGGCAGTAACATCATTTAAACGGGTCTCGTAGACCTGTGTTTATCAACCTTCATCAGTAGATATAAAATCTATTTTTTTAAAGTAGTGATCACTGGCGGTCTCAGGTAGTCAACCTTCATTACGCATGAGGATTAAAAAAATTATTTAAAAAACCTATTCATCGAGTGATTACATACTTTACGTCCCTCAAAGAACGCAACACCAATAAAATGTATTGCTTGTTGATGGGCAGATTCGGAGGATGATTCAGGATTCTGCGCGTTCTGAAATGTGTTCGGAGGAAGTGGAAATTCACTTAAACAAGCCATTTTGTGTTCTGCCTGTTTTTCTTTACGCTGTTGCTTTGTTTTGACTTCTGTATTTTGAGACTGCAAGGGAGCAGGGGACTCCGTCAAGCTGTTTATACACTGCCCTCCATTTATGTATTGAAATGAGGAGTTTAATATTAGTAGTAGTAGTAGCAGTAGTAGTAGTAGTAGTAGTAGTAGTAGTAGTAGCACTAGTAGTAATAGTAGTAGTAGCGTTACCTCATCTAGCAGCAATGTTATAGCTTCTCACCATTTAAAATAAATCGCAAAATTCAAAATGACACGGAAAAAAACTCGGAAATGCAATATCAATCAAGGCAGCGCGGTATTGTGGAATGATTTCCTTTTTCCGAAAAAGCGGTTTCAAGTACCTCTTAAAAGTGAGATTTCATGGTGTCTTTTTCACAACGTAGGGTGTGAAGTTTTCATTATAAAAATGTCGTGCATACGTTTGTCACGACGAACCAGCACATGCCATAGGCTTCCAGGTGTCAATATGTCCGGAGGACGATTTTCTGCCGTAATGGACGTTAATGTGGTTGATTAAAAACGAATGGCACCATATTTTCTTCTCCTCCTCAACTTGGTGTTCACATTTCTTCTAACATCAGGAGGAAGAAAAAGGTGGAAAGGGACTCTCCGTGCTGCACGAGTACAGCCTGACAGGCGTCAACAAGGTGAGCCGACTCTGTAGGAGAACAACAAGGCGGTAAGTTGGGCGAGTTGGTTGAACATCTTCAAACGTAAAAACAGCGCAAACATTTGACAAAGGACGAGTAAGAGAAGTGCAAGGACAGAGCACTGAAAGGACGATTAAAAAAAGTGCACGGACAAAGCGCTGGAGAGTCGGTGGTTTTTATACGAGCGTTACACTGGTAAAAAGAATACTAATGAGTTTGGGGAATCTACACGCACTAAGAACTTTATAACCCTTAAGGATTTAAATCAGCTTATCCCAGGGCTGTACCCTTAAGGACGTGGTCGCACCACTAATATACCATACAAAAGATAGTCCGCGTACAGTGTCTGAGGCATGTTTCTTCCTTGTATGATGGTCATATTGGTCACACAAAAGCTCTGTTTAGACGTGATTGAAGGGCATATACGTACGAAGCAAACCTGGTTCCAACGTGCTTGAGGCCTGTCCACATTTAACGAGTGTGGTTGTCCCCTCCTCGCAATATTTTGTAATGTAACAAAATTTCGCTCTAATCTCGATGCAATATTACTTGCGTCGTTTTAAATATGTCGGTTTTTTTATTTTATAGTTGTCTTACATTTATTGTAAACCGCATTCAAGAATCACTAGCTGTTTTTGAGCCCGTTAAAATAAATAAATATTATTATATCTATAAGGCAACGCTGTTGTAATAGAGCACTCATTGCTTGACATGTACTGGACGTCTTCAGGTGACTCTGCCGGACGTCGGAACCGTCGAACTGGTACGGCTGAGAAATCCTTGGGGCAGCTCGGAATGGAAGGGACCCTGGGGAGACAAGTGAGTCCCGGGAACGACTTTTAAGCCGATAGCCTTAAGCAGCCGTCACACTGCAAATACATCATACAAAAGACAGTCTGCAGACAGTAGAGTGTTTTAGGGAACCGTTTTTGCACATTCGATACGGTGCGCGATGGCCCGTCAGGTACGAACTGCGCATGGGAGAGTCTTCTGCGGTAGCGCATGCGGGGCCTATCGTACCGTAAGGGATGTGCAAAAACGGTTCCCTCCCTAAAACTCTCTATTGGCCATACACAAAAGTGTCCACAAATATGTTCCTCAGATAATTCTGTAATTATGTCTGCGGCGAACACCGTGTCTTTTGTACGGTGCATGAGCAGTTCGACCGTGGATGGATGGATGGATGTTAATGGCTATACCATTTGTAACAGGCGGTAGCTTGCGCCACCTAGCCGAAGTTTAAAGAGGCAAACATATGATTCCTCCCGCCCCTTCTAGGCCAATTTTCTCCTACTAACTACCACCAGACAGCATGGGATACCACCAGAATGGTTTTTACATGGCTTTCTATGCGTTACGTGGCTTTATATGCGAACCCGTCACGGATCTTTCCTGCCCGTGTTGATCTATATCCCGGTGTCACGTAACGACGTCATAGCGTTGCGCGCGTCACGGTGCCACGTGATACCGCAATGTCACGTAACGTCCCTCTCTGACGTGACGTCGCAGCGCCACGTGACGTCATTGTGTCACGTAGCGTCATGGTGCGCCGTAACGTCGCAGTGTGACGTGGCGTGACGTCACAATATTCCCAGTAGATGCAAAGACAGCGCCAGCATTGGCGTCTTCCCGCTGTCCTTCCAACCACTGCTCGGTTCCCTGACGTCGCCGTACGCTCTTATATCCTCCTCTCTCTCTCTTTCTCTTTGCATGCAGAGAGCGAGTCGTCTGCTTTTTGTGCAGAGATTGCGGTGACGTCAGGTCGACGCCGAGCTCTGATTGGTTTTAATTGAAAGAATAGTGTGTAGAGATCAATGGTAGATGGCTTGAAGTCTACCCACCATTGTTTTCAAGATGCAAATAATAGTTTGGCGTGCTGACATCGTCGCAACCCCCGTGCAAGAAGCACACGAACTTGCGATACGCATGGAAATGGTCATTGGGCATGGCAACTGATATAACCAGTGTTACACCGGTGTGTTCACCACATCCAAATGAGTGGTCCCTCGATTTCCGCCTGGTGACATCATAGTGGAGTCACGATGTCGCGATGTATGGGCGGGATAGGACGCTATAAACACACCAGTGGGAGACGCGCTTCAGGCACCATAGTACTACTCTGTATGGTTGTTTTGAAATGTTCATCGACGCTCCGCAGGTCCAAAAAATGGGAGCAAGTCAGCGAGGAGAAAAAACAAGAGCTTGGACTGGTGATCAAAACTGACGGGGAGTTTTGGTAAGACACACCAGAGGGTTCCTTTCGTGCATGCCCTTCGTCCAAATAATGCGGGTCGGGAATCGGGCACCCGAATTAATCACTTCATCCCGGGGCACCTATATACCATAGTGCGGCCACCGTGGGTTTTACGCTGTAAAGCGATCCGGAAATATAGACCTTTCCAAAAAGAGCGCTCTGGCCGCCGCCATTTTGCGAATCGAGCGACCCCTATCAGCCAGAAATTTCTGGCACCCGCCTGAGCTGTGGAAGCCCGGCCAGCGTGACTCCCCACCTGCATTGTGCATTCGGAGTTGGCCGGCTTTTCTTGGAAGTTTTTACTTTATTCGCCTGTTTAGGATGCTTACCCTTTGTGTGTTATCTTCCACTGTGAGAACCAGGGAATAGTCCAGGGACTCGACCTTCGCAGGAAACGAACGAAGAGAGCGAACGTCAAGCTGCCCGCGACGCAGGCAGTTCGACGTTCTTGGAGGATTATTCATGTTGAGATAATCTCCAAAAAGCCTTCCCGGCTATGTTCCGGGTCTTCGCGAAAAATAGTTGATAGGGTCGGGTCCGGGTTGTGGCGACGAAATAGACACGTTCGTTCATTTGCTTTGAAGCTGTGCGAAAAAGCAGCTCTCTTCTAGATGTTCCCCAAAACACACCGGATTCCGTCCGGTTGTCGTGGAGTAACTATTGGCGATCGTCGGCACTGTATATTGGACATGCTGTGTTATTCGAGACCTTTCTCAAGTCCTGTTCGGATAACGCGGCACCGTGGGGTACATACAATATATCTATATGTTGTTCGATTGATGATACTCGTTGAATTTCATGGTGTGGGCGGGGAATATCCATGCAGTTCCGATATCTTGTGTGGTTAAATATTTTTGACGGCTAAGACCTTTCTAAATTGGCACAGCTGAGTGTACGGTGCCGTAAAAAAATCAACATAAAATGAAACAAATTTTCCGGTTGCATTTGTTCTGTCGCGCACGGACTCACCAAAACAGCTTTTATTTCTTAATTTTTGTTCCCAAAAAATAGTACAATGCATTCTTAAAAACCCCGAGAAATTCTATTCGCCATAGAACACAAAATAAAAAATATAACACGGCAATTTAGCCTCCACCAGCGCCGGGAAGCGCGCCTACGCAGGCTGCCACAGCCCCCTGACTACAAAACCCACAGCTCAGCGCAGTCGGGCAACACTGACGTACCCTCTCAAAACCAGGGACGCCCGCTGTAAATCGCTTCGTTCGAGACTGCCGCTGGAAAGGTCTATAGGCACCTACATTTCGAAACGTAGTCTTATTCGTGTAAAAAAATGAAAGCCGTTTACAACTCCCTGTAACGCCGAATTTGAGCGCAGCTCTTGAGGAGGAGGAGGGAAGGGTACTGGGGGGATCAGTTGACCTCGGAAGGAAGGGGGGTCACGTGACCTCGGGGGTCACGTGACCTGGGAGATCACGTGACCTGGGAGATCACGTGACCTCGGGGGGGGAGGGGTCACGTGACCTGGGGGGTCACGTGACGATGACGTCATCAGTTATGATTACGATGACGATGCGGATGCCGATTACGTCATTGGCATCCGCATCGCCATCGTCATCATGACTGATGACGTCATCAGTGACGTCATTGATGACGTCATCAGTGACGTCATTCATGACGTCATCGGCATCGGCATCATCACTGATGACGTAATCGTCACGTGACCCCCCAGGTCACGTGACCCCCCCCCCCCCTAGGTCCTCCCGAAGGAACCCGAGGTGCTCCCGAGGTCCTCCCTAAGGAACCCGAAGTCCGTCCGAGGTCCTCCCGAAGGAACCCGAGGTCCTTCCGAGGTCCACCCGAAGAAACCCGAGGTGCTTCCGAGGTCCTCCCGAAGGAACCCGAGGTCCTGGGGGGGTCACGTGACGATGACGTCATCAGTGATGATGACGATGACGATGCGGATGCCGATGAAGTCATTGGCATCCGCATCGCCATCGTCATCGTCATTGATGACGTCATCAGTGACGTCACTGATGACGTCATCGGCATCCGCATCGTCATCGTCATTGTCACTGATGACGTCATCGTCACGTGACCCCCCCCTAGGTCCTCCCGAAGGAACCCGAGGTCCTCCCGAGGTCCTCCCGAAGGAGCCCGAGGTCCTCCCGAGGCCCTCCCGAAGGAACCCGAGGTCCTTCCGAGGTCCTCCCGAAGGAACCCGAGGTCCTCCCGAAGGACCTCGGGTTCCTTCGGGAGGACCTCGGAAGGACCTCGGGTTCCTTCGGGAAAATTTACCCATAATGCACCGCGCGGTTACGCCGACGGCGACGGCGACGGCCACGGCGACGCCGACGCCGCTCAAGCCGGAAACGGGTGCCTAAGAGCTGCGCTCTAAAAATATTGCACCAACAAATTCGGCGAACTCTATGGCGGGCGTTTTCGCGGATGACCGAGTTAGCGATGAATGTAACCCTTGGCGCCATCTCCCGATAGGCTCAGCTAGCAGACAACAAAGTGCGTCGTCTGCTCGCAGCGCCTATCGGATGATGGCGCCACAAGTTACATTCCTCGCTTACCCGATCGTCTGCGTAAACGTCCGCCATTGAGTTTGGCAAGTTTATTGGTCTAATTTTTCAGAGAAGAAAAACTACGCCGTGAAATTTTAGTAGGTAATATCCACCACCTTCATGCACACTCGGTGAAAGTTTGAGCTTTTTGTATGCAGGTGCTGATTTTCCCGGTTCGTTTTACAGCGTAAGGTCTACTGTGGCCACCTTGTACGTTATTTTGTGCTGTTCATTTTATTTATCTTACCGGCTGCTTATGTGTTACGTGGACTTCTGCTTACTTAGGATCAACCTTGGTAATCGTGAACACAGGCGGGTTGATAGCGTCGTAGTTTTGTAACCTTTAGGCCTTCCAGTGTTACCTTCCTCTCCTCTTTACACATCTCTTTTTACCACCCCATTTCACTTCCCCGGCACTCAGTATAGAGTCAACTGGAACAATACGCAGGTTAACTTCTATGTCTTCCCGTTCTGTACTTTCTCTTATTCTATGTGTTGAACTGGCATGGGAAGCTCTTTACAATATGCTTTTCTTATCGCACGTGCGTATCTTGAAAGATAATACATCCTGTACGATTTTGCTCTGTCCCAGATCAGTACAGGGCACCCTGTTTGGAGCTAGGACCTGAAAGTTCTATTATAACTGTCAGTAACGGAAAGTTTTATTATAACGGTAAATTGAGATGTAATTCTGAAACAAACAAAAAATTTATATTTTTTTAATACTTTTGTATGAGAATCACTGTCTTAGCAAAGGAGCGCAAACACCACGTCATCATTGAAGTTTTAATACAATAAAGCACACGATGGTCAATGTTTTACGTATATGTATTTTCTTGCAGTTGTTATAGCATTACATGTGACTCGCTGATCTCGACAATCTGTTTTCATAGATTTTGTGTATATTTCTAATATATCTAACCAGTATTACACTGGTGTGTTTGCCACATTCACGGAGACTATATAATGGTTAGGCTAGTTGATGCATGATGCTCAGGGAACTTGTAAGCGTAAAAAAAAAAGACGACGAACACGGCGGGAACACGAAATCAGACACGCGCCTGCCCGTGTCCACAATGTTATGTTCATCTCTCTTTGCATGTACGAGTTTTTGCGTGGGGAGTGCTTGAAAATAAACGTCGAGCTTTGAACCTGCCTGCCATCTTACCACAGGATGTCCATGGAAGACTTTCTAAAGCACTTCCAACTGCTCGACATTTGCCACCTGGGCCCTGACACCCTGAGCAGCCATACGACCGGCGAAAGTGCCTCAAAAAGATGGGAGATGTCAACGTTCGAAGGGGCCTGGGTACCGGGCTCCAACGCCGGGGGAGGCCCCAGTGACATGGGTAAGTGGCTGTCCGCATTTGGAACCCTTTTTTTTTTTTTTTTTCAATGCCGCCTTGCTGGTTATGTTTACCTTTTCTATGATGGGTTTAGCCGGTTATAGCAAACGCACAAGAAGTATGAGCTTTGTGACGATGCCCTTTTGACGCAGCATGATTGACTGTATTCGATCGTGTGCAGAGCTCAAGTTCGTCTGCTTCCTTTGCAGTGAATCTGGTACGTGACGTCAGAACGCCGAGCTTTGATTGGTTCTAATTGAAGAATAGTGGGGAGACCTCAAAGCAAGCTGCCTTGAATTCTAGCCACTGTCTTTCGATCAGAGCCAATCAGATCTCGGGATTCTGACGTCACCACAACACTTGCAAAAGAAGCAGACAAACTTGTGCTCCGCATAGCGTCGACTGCGGCAGAAGTAAGATTGATTGATTGATTGATTACTGGTCGATTGATTGATTGATTGATTGATTGATTACTGGTCGATTGATTGATTGATGTATTGTCTGGTTGATTGAATCTGATTGATTGATTAATTTATTTGTTGGTTGAATGACTGATTACTTTTGTTGATTGATTAATGATTGATCGGCTGGAAGATTGATGCATTGATTGCTTTATTATTTGATTCATTGGGTCATTTATTTAATAATATATTGGTCAAATGATATTGACACATAATTTGCATGAAAATGAGAATTCACGTTCATGGGTCGTGATCTAAGTTTAAGAGTGAAACGGACTCTAGAAATACCATAATTTCTACGTGACCCTCTTTGCGCCGCCCTTACCGGTTCCCCCGGCGTTAAACAAACAGTACTTGAGTCTCCCGTCGCGTTTCTCTAATCGCAGAGAAGTTTGCCACGAACCCGCAGTACATGATCACGCTGGAGGAGCCCGACGACGACAACGAAGATGGAGAATGCACAGTCATCGTCGCCCTCCTCCAGAAGGACCGGCGTGTCTTCGAGGCCACGGAGGGAATGTTTCGCAGCATAGGATTTGCTTTGTATGAGGTAAGCGAAAGATTCTTAGTTAATTGGGACCGAATATTTTCAGAAAAAAAAAGGTTTCTTCACTCAACGACATTCGCGCCTTTCGTCTTATGCCCAGCTCAACAATTACATGTTCTCTAGACTGTACTGACCATTGTGCTAATAAAAGCCAAAATGTCCCAGTAATATATAGTAATGGCTACATTTTAATATTGTTTAGTTCATTTTCCATTATTTTTACTAAGTTAGAAACGGCTTGTTGGGTTCGCTCACCAAATTCCCATAATTTCTACCAATGTGAATATGTCTTGTTCATTTGCACATTTGCACCTCAAAATTCACGCTTCTAACCGAACAATTCTTACGAGTGCAACAGTTTCCAGAAGTCAAGGCTGCAAGTCTCTGGAATAGCGTTTGTATACCACTAAAGAGGCATCATTTCTTAGAGTGCATCTCCTGCTACTAGGCAAAGCCAGCAGAAGTCAAGGCAGTGCGCAAAATGAACATTGGAAAGCATAACTGTGGTGTTTAATGAAACTATAGACCAGGAACGTGTCAAGACCACCCAGCATAATCAATGCGTGGGAACATCTGCTATGTGTTGAATCAGTGGCGGTCCCAGACATTAGTTTTAGGGGGGGGGGGGGCGAAATTGTTGCCCAAAATAACAAAAAAAAGAGCCACCACACTTTTTTGTGAATAAAGATTTTTTTTTTTATTAGTCCCACTGTTTGCAAGTCGGAAATGCGCAACATGTAAACCTTTGCTCGCAATATAGCTTTAGCGCTGAATACATTCGACACGTGCACAATCGTACAACATTACATATACTTTTTTTTATTTATTCACAAATGTTACTACCTTCCATTGAAAGGTGTCGTAGGACTGGGGTTTTATATAACAAATATAAAAAGTGCAGTGAAAGGTTCCTAATGAAAATGAGCAATAATTGAAGTAATGAAGTAATTTTCAAAACTTCTTTCACCATATTTACACCATATTCATTTTTGGCGAAATTAGATTTCAAAGAGCACACCCGCTCCAATGAGTCTGCTCTTTTTAAAGGGGTCTCCTTCCCTACGTCCCTATGTGAAGACGTCGTCCGAGCTCACAGATCCTCCAATCAAGACCGACTGTGCTCTCTTTTTGCTTGGCTGTAAAATAAAAAAAGATTATAAAAAGCGATCGATATTGGGGGGGGGGGGGGGGGGGGGGGGGGCGGTCGCCCCTTTCGCCCCCCCCCCCCCTTAGGACCGCCACTGTGTTGAATAGCAGAGCAGAAAGATTTAGCTATAATACTTGAGTTCGTCGCTTTTTGTTTACCCTTCAGCATTCCAGCACTTACACAATTACTCGCCAGTCTTGTCTACCAAGCAACCGGAAGTCATTCGGAGGACGAGAGACGGCATTTTGTTTGTAAATACGCATATACATTTTGGAAACAAACTGGCTGTACCAAATCCAAATAGTGAGCTAGCCTCTGCATCATATTAGTTTGAAGCAGAAGCGATTCATCTAAACCATCTACACCGTAAGAAAGCTGAAGTGTCCACTTTTCCACCATGCACTTGGGACGGCCAATCAAGTTTTCAATCTATGAAAGAAGCTTGGAAAATGGCGAGGTCAAAAATATGTATAGACCCCTTAAACAAAAAAAAAAACAGTCTGCGTTGTGTTTCTTTTTTTTTTTTTTTTCTTTAATTGGCCCTTTTAAAAAATCCATCGAGCGAGAGAACGCCTCCCTGAATGACCGTTTGGACGACTTCGACGGTATATAACGGCGTGAAAACCTGCTGTTCTATGGTGTAGACCAGGGCTGGCCAAGCTTCGGCTCTTCGCGCGTTAAAGTGCGGCTCGCGGCTCCCTACCCTAACCCCCCCCCCCCCCCCCACACACACACACACACACATACACACTCTCTCCCGGTCACACGAAGCACTTCCCCAAAAAGATAAATGGAACGTATTTTTAATTGAAAGATAGGTTGCGGTTCGGTAGACTTGTGCTACTGCTGCCTTACGCACAGTTGGACTGCTTTTGATTCGGGTATATTGAAAGTAGTTTGAGTTTCGTTTATTGTACTAAAAAAAGTTTGCCCCCCCCCCCCTCCCCTGCTTCCCCCCGCGGCTCTTGGAAGTTTCGTGGTTTTATTTGGGGCTCTTAGGCCGGGTCAGCCTGGCCACCCTTGGTGTAGACGATTCAAGATCAGAGACATCGGCGGAAACGGAAAATAGAATAGTTGACATGCTTCAACGTACGGTGAACCTTCAAATTGCCCCAGGAGACTTTAAGCGAGCGCATAGACTCGGGTCCTTCTCGGTTAAAAGATATAGACCTGTCATTGTGAAGTTTTCTTCATATAAGCTGGGAGAAACATATATAGCCTCCCGCTCAAATTTAAAATCTGCAGGCACGCCGGTCAATAAGGACTTCTGTCCCGCGACGCGCCAGGCTGGAGAAAAACTTGTCTAATTTGGTATCTCTCTAAACTCAACCTTCAGGCTGAGATATAACAAGCTTTCGTCAACGGAGAGTGCTACATTTATGATCACTTGATTAACAGTATTCAATTATCAACTAAAACCAATTATATCGCGCCTGTCTCCGATGACCAAGTAAATGGAAATCCTTCCCTTATAACAAATCTTCAATAGCATGTCGCGGGGGTTAATGGTTATCTTCAACCTTTGCCTTGTGATAACGTTTCCGTTCTGTCTACCAATATCATGAGTGTTGTTGCCAAAAAGTACGACTTGTATTCAATAATCGACTCATCTAGTGCTGACATAGTTTTTTTTCTAACCGAAACCTGGTTAACAAGCAAATCCGTAACTCTGAAATTGAACATTGTAAAAAACACTTTAAAATATATCGTCAAGAGAGAGAGAGAGTAGGGCTGGAGGCGATGTTCTCATTGCTGTCGCCTATTTTATTTCGTTATTCTGTATTAATGTGGTCACTGACCTCGAGATAATTTGGGTTTTTGTATGTATAAATTATAACAAGTATGTTTCAGGTGTCTGCTATCGCCCTCTCACAAAGATCGCCAATTTTGTTGCCGAGCTTCACAGTGTCGTTAACGCGATCCATGTCCGCTTCCCAAATGTGCCTGTAAATACCCTTGGGACACTTCAATTATCCAAACATTGTTTGGGCAAGCGACTGCTCTTTCCTTAACCCAATTTCCGCAGAGAGTAAGGATTTTTTTAAACTTCTGCACAGATTTTAGCTTTTCGCAGACACTTGTGCAGCCTACACGGGTTACTAATTCTACAGCCAATAAATTCTTTCTGTAGAATATGAGTGTCCCCCATTCGGCTCACGCTATTTATGTTTGCGTTATCTTTTCTTGAGGTGGGGAACGACTGAAATTTGGAAGGTAGTCAATGGTTTAGCGGTGAAACCGCAGATTTCTTATTTTTACAAACTTGGGTGCCTAAGGATTCTCACAATAGGCACCAAAGCAGCGTTTGGAAGGCTCAGTCTACGTCCGGGTAGAAGACACGCTACTGGGACTGCGGTAAAAGTGCAATCTGTTTGCTTGGCTTGCTCCACTGAGTTGTGGAGAGACCGTTATTTTGAACTCCGCAAACATTGCTTCTCTGCGCATTAGGAAAATCACGAAATTTGGACAAGTTTGAAGCCTTTCTCCTTTCTCTCTCTCCTCTCGACTAGCCAAAAAAGAAACAATTCTTTTCAAAACTGATTAGGAGTTCGAAAATTAACTAGTCGAACCTCAAATGTCGACGACGAAACTGAGGTTCGAGAAAAGTTCGCAGCTTCTCTAGAAATATAAAAGAATAGCCACATAGCCAACCACCAAATGTCGACGACAAAAAAGAAAAATAGCTCAAACTGGGCTATAAATAGCCCAATCTGGCAACACTGTTGGCAATATTAATTTGTCTCCCAGCAAAAGTTGCACACATCTGTGGCTCCGATAAACGTCGATATCTTAAAAGTAAACTCCTGGAGTTAGTTGCTGGGAAGTACATATTCATCCCATCCTATTCCATGCTACGCCGCGGCCGCGTGAGGTGGAGTGGTAAAGGATGTATAATGGTAAAGTTTCAACTGTCCCTTTTCCCCACTTTATGCAATCTCTATGGTTGTGTAGCTTTAACTATTACAAAAACACAACCTCTCCTTCCTCTTAAAACGTAAATAGTATGACCCAGACTGGAAACCAATACAGAGGCTTTCGTCGTGACCCGAAACTACAATGACATGTCCCCCTGAGCCTTGACGAGATAAGCGGTAAGACCCCGTTTTTCAACAATCCGAGATTTGAGAGATAACTGTGGTGGCATTTTCTCGGGACCATTGACGCTGTGCGTTGTTCAAAGTTAATTGCAAAACACCGTCTTTATATATATATATATATTGTTTATTTATTTTTTTTTGGGGGGGGAGGAAGGTGCGTTGGCACAACAGAATTCGGAGTTTATCGGGTAAATCCGAATTGACCAAATTTTTATTGGCGGGTATTTTCTGGAGTTTTTCGGATTTATCCGAAAACATGGAATTCCAGTTATTGCGTAATTTCATTACTTGTAATGAGTACCGCACATTTTTTAAATGTGATGGTAGGTGGAGGATCCCTGCTCGTGTCCCGTGCCGCTGACCCAAGAGTACCTGGAGGACAACACCAAGGTGGCCGAGGTCGAAGAGTTCCGGCCTTCGCGGGAGGTGACGAAGCGGTTCCTGCTCCTCCCGGGCAACTTCTGCGTCATCCCGGCCACCGAAGAGCCGGACTTGGCCGGAGAGTTCCTGCTCAGAATCTACACCGAAAAGAAAAGCATCTCAAAGTACGACTCGAATCTCCTTCTTAAGGCGGGCCTCCTGCGTTGACCGTAGGGCGATGCGCAAAAAGCGTCTTACGCGTTTGAACGATTCCACCTAAATGAAAACGTCGTGAAGCATTCCACAACAAGCGCCAGGCTAGCCCGCGTTGACGCCAAGACGGACGCGCCTGTGGCCTTCCGTAGAGCTTCACGTATTTGCCGCTTAGGGCGGGTCGGAGACCCTCCAACGATGACGTCATGTGCAAGCCTTGTCTTCTAGGCGGAATCGGTTTGAAACTGTCACGCGCGTAAAAGCGGGCCCGCCCTGAGGCCGAACGTGATCACGGAAAAAATGGAAACAAATAGCCAGAGTTCAAACTTTCCGTCCCACAGGTCAAGGCTAGAACGCTAAGAGCGCGAGCTTGGAGACATCGTTTCGTGCATTGCAAAGCCAAAAAAAAAAAAATATTATAATAAAATTGCCGTGACCTCAGTGGTACCATGGCCTCATTTATTCTAGAAAGCCTGTCAATTCCACGACGGAGCCACATTGAGCCGCGTCCTGCAAGGAAAAGGCGAGCAGCAGCGCCGAACGGTTACCGATATGCTATATAGCTCAGAGCCACTACTGGGGGTGGTCCCTCAACAAGCGCCAAAAAAGAGGCGCGGTGGCCTCTTCGTGAAATAACAACAAACCACAACGGAGAAAAAGAAAAGAGGCTACCGGCGCGCTGAGAAACGAGAAATGGCAGTGGAGGGTCGACAAAACATTTTTTTGATTTTCGCCAAAAAAAAAAAGGAGCTTGTTTATGTTTTCGGATTTTAACGCTGGGGATTGTTTGGCGCTGCCCGAGGACTCCCGTGCGAGCACCCCTTTCTCTGATCCCTTTTCCCCTTTAGAGCGGCCATTTTTTTCGCGATTTGAAGGCTTTTTAAAATAAAGGAGGCTATGGTAGTAATCTAGTGGTGGTGGCATGAATGCATCACTTTAGATCGTTTTGCGAGGTCAAATCTAGTGTGCAAAAAAAGTTTGCGTTCTTCAGCACTACAAAAACTTCAGAAAAGAAAAAACCTCTGGCGCCAAAATAAGGTGGGCTTGCAGGACCAGAAACGAGGGCTCCGTAGATAATTTAAAGCTTCGGTGCGGGAGGCCTACTCAAAGGAACAAGATATCCAACAGATTTCTCCGCGGATTTCTCCGCTAACCTTCACATATTATAAAATCGTCGCACTATGGCGAAGCGGCGCTGCGACGTCAGGTCCGCGGCTGAGGGGCGGTGGGATGCCCAGGCGGTAGAAACACTCCGGGTTTTGGCGGCGGATCAGATGGTATTCAATAATATTTTGTCGTTAAAGCGTTTTGGCGTCTACGGTATACGCCGCTAAATTCCTCAATGATGGTGCCATTTGTGGAAAACTTCTAGGTTTGAACTTCTAGAGCGCACGTCCGTCCCACCGGCACCTTGCCCGTGTGAGTGATGAAGTTGAGGAGGAAGTTATAATACACCCTTTGTTGACGTCACGCACGTTCGTCCCGGAATTTCTCTTTTGTGCGAACACCGCTGAACGAGAGTGCTGGAATACGATTCAAGTCGCTATTGTGTCTTGAATTTCAACGACTCGTTAATTCTTGCCGTTTTCAACGCATAATTCCTCCAGTGCCTGCACGAACTACTCTGGTCGAGCAATTACTCTAATACTCGCAAATTCGTAAAATAGTGTTTCTCGTTTTGCAGCTCTGCTCCTCGCTTAACTTTTTTTGTTACTGCAACAATCGTTATTTATCCCCAGTATGAAACCAGTAAACTGATACTAATACAGCAGATGACATTTGCAGGCACTTTTCTTGTCATTATAACTGATGTGCCGCGTATTTTACTTGTTAGCAAGCAGACAAGGAGTTAGCCAGCTTTTGGTAGTACGGTCATTTAGCCATTTCGATGTCCTCGGTGTCTCGGTTGTACGGGCCTTAAAGGGACCATGAAATGATTTTAAAATCGAGTTTCATCCACCGCACGTCGTAAAAGGTGTGAAAAGAAACACAAAAACACAAAAATAGGGAGCCAAAAAAAATTATTTGCTATAGAACTTTTAAAAGAAAACTGGACTCTTTTGCGCCTTCCTTCCTTTGCCTGTTCACTACGATGCATCCGCGGAAATGGAGCACGTCAGCCAAATCCAGGTCGCCTATTGGGTAAGAGCCTACCTCACCAGCTCCGCGATCGTAAACAATAAATAGCCGGCGAATGTTTCCTAAAAGTTTTGTTAAATAATATTCAGATCCACATTTTGTAGCATAATTAGAGATGTGTGGCGAAAATTGCCAAATTTGATAATGCTGAGAGCCAAGCGCCATCTATCGTGTGGTAAACGAAGCAACTACTGCGCGTGCGCAGTAGGGCAGGGCCGACAGTTACTTGAATGGCGGCGGCCGACGAACGTTTATTTTCTTTGTTTTCCTTCCTCTCAAAACTCTGACTGACTGAACGTTTATTTTTCTACGTGTTCTTCCCGCACGTGCCGACTTCAAGCAGCAAGAAAACAGTACTTAAAACAGACCACGACGAACAAGAACGCTGGATCCACCGACTCCGACGAAGCGTATAGGCCTAGCAGGCATTCCGACTCGGCGCTGCGTTGCTTCGTCGCAAGACCGTCTGCCTACGATCGGCTGGCGTGCTAAATGAAATATGCCCGCGCGACCCTTGTGGACCCTTCCCATATTATAGTTTGATCACTGACCTCAATTCTAGATTAAGAGGTGAGGTCAATCTCTTCCCCTTGTTTTCCGAGGCAGTGTTGACGAACACTCGTCGAAAAGGGACTCTTGTCGATTCTATCTTCTTGTTTTGTGTGATATAGAGCTGAAATAAACGCCGTATGGATTACCTTCGTAACACGGTATGTACACTTTGTTATTGGTATGCCATTTTTATTCTGACAGACTACACGTCACTGTCGAGCTATAACAGTTCGTGGGAGGTATACGTACAACCCCGGTCCAACCTTTCTTTGCCGAGTGTCGCGTCAGTATCGAGTTGCAATCGTAAAAGAACGGTCCCGAAGCGCTTACAAACAGCGCGAATACAGCACTTCCATCGAACGCGCGCGTCCGCTCCGAGTGTAAACAGGTATTTACGTGGCTCTTGCTGACACTCGTAGTTCAAACGTATCTTTTTTAACGTCGGCTCGCTCCTGCATCTCCGAGGCCGCGAAAAACGCCATCTACGTCGCTTTGCAAACGACTGACACGGGCCGGCCCTTCTGCCAACAATGACAGGGTGGTTGACTTCTGGAGTCTTCACCGGAAGACTCGCTGCACTTCCCAACAGGCATACCGGCGTATGGGACTAGTCCCATGCTGTCGCTGTAGCGCAACATATCTCATTGAATTTCGCTCAGCTGCGATGCGGCGATGAGAGGCGCCGATTCAGGAAATACGTCGGTGACATCAGCGCAGTAAAACCTACCGGCACACCCCAACTCGTTGCCGCTAACACTCCCATTCTCCTATTGCCGAGAGAACTTCCGGTTCCGGAAACGGTTTACGTCACGGCTTGTTTTGCGGTCAGTTGGAGAGAATGAAAAAGTCGATATTTCAATAATTTTTTTGTGTAGAAGTTAATAAACCGAGACGAAAACGGATGCCTGTTCGGCATTCAGTGAACATTGACGGTTTAATGTAAAAGTTGTCTGTAAAAAGTAAAAAGGTCATTTCATGGTCCCTTTAAGCAATTCTTTGAACTTATAAACTTTAGCAATCTAAACGCAGGCCTGAGTGTAAAAGAAAAATCAATTCTTAACCGCAATTTATTTCTCGAATAGACCATTTTCCAACGTTCGCGTAATCCACGTAGGAGCTGCTTCAGCTATTATCAGAGTTCCTCCATTGTTTGGGTGTCCACTTGGAACATCTATTGGACACAAGGGCTGCGTGACGTCACGGTTCGGCGTTTACTCGGCTGAGTTCGAAACTCGGCGACGAGTCTCGGATCCAATAATACACTTCGCATCCAAACAATAGCGACGGCCAATATAGCTTGACGAGGTTTTTAAAAGGTTTTAATAACTGCGCCTAAAAATCCCTTCCTGAAAAAGAAAACGGCGCAACAAAACAACTGTTTGTTCTCCCAGTTCCATGTCTTTATAGAAGCAACGTTTCTGTAATGATGAGCATTTATGCACCCGCATTTTTACCCGCTTTGCTCTGTATAACATTCACATCCTGGCGTCACCGTTGGCTATTTACGAACTGTAATGAGCTCGCCTTTTACTCGTTGAAAGCACGCGTTGCACACGAGGAGCCATTCGATAAATCTCCTTGTTCAAATAAGAGGAAAATATTCAAAAACGGCAATATCATTCAATCCATAAAGTCGCTAAATTGCCCAGCCACGCGTTGCGTATAATTTTTTGACAAAACCCAGTAATTGTCTATAATTGTTTATAATAAATACGATGCTAAAACATGTATAGTTTTGCCACTGCACTTTCATACTCGCTGTTTTCAGAGGTTACAGCTCGCGACACGGAAGTCATATCAACGTTGTTTTTCTTTAATAGATTTGTTTGTTTATGATTACTTTTTTAATCTCAACCTATTTCCTCAGTGTTTCGTGTCTTATGATGTTTGTCATTTATTTTTAAGGATGAAAGAAAAGCACCGTAAGCATACATTTTACCTGATGTACATAGACTATTTTTCAAAACTAGCGAAATAATAAAACCATATGTAGCAGCAAATTAATCTACCAACCGAATGAATTACTCTGACTGCAGGGAACACGACGAAACCCCCGGAATCATCGAGAAGCCGCCAGCGGTCAGTAACCTTTTGTGCCCTTGTATACGTGATAGCCCTTTCTGCTTTCCTTGTGTATGAAACGCAATAATAATTGTCCATATTGAATCGTGGTGTAGTTTTTGTAAGTCATGAAGAACGAAATCTTCTATTGAGCCCCGGATAAGCGCAAGACGTTTTGATGGAAGATCTAATTTCTTCAGGCTGAAGGACGATGTAAGACACAGCAGGCCGAAACGTCGACTCACTAAATGCTTTAAAACACAGACAACGCTTCGAAGTGCGACTGCATTACTTAATACTCTTCGGCGTCCTTCTACGCTAGTCAATATGACTCTATCTGGTCGTGTCGCATCGTTCCCCGTACTGTACCAAGTAAAAAACTAGCGGTGAGAAACCACCAGACAGCGGAAGTTTAATCAACAGTTTCGCCAAGAGACACCGTCAGGAGAAGTCTCTCGGCGAAATTATTGATTAAACTTCCGCTGTCTGGTGGTTTCTCACCGTAAGATTTTCACTTCTTACAGTACGGCGAACGATGCGACACGACTAGATAGAGTCATATTGACTAGCGTAGAAGTTTGGGCTAGTTGGTATGCAGACATTGTTATATTATACTTCAGCCTCCTCACTTATTTTCTTTTATATTATGAGATGATATAATATGGTGCAGTACGAAATCGACGTAGTAGAGTAAATAATGATATTGTATCTACAGCGTGGGCGCAACAGATAAAAAATCCACTTTCAATAAATTTTAAAATCAATAATAACAATAATGTCTTTATTCAAACCTGAGGGTTGTGGCACCACAGAAAGGCCTTCAGTTCACAATTGAGTCCTGTGGTACCGCACTATACAATAATATGCGCAAAAAAAAGAGGATGAAGATAAAGATTGTGCATGCTCGGATATAGAGCCAATAAATGAGCTTATTTATTGGCAATACTCGGATACTTTTATTTAACACAAAGATGCGGCCGTGTGGTATACGTGTTTAAACAAAAAATATATAAAAAGCATGCTTGTCTCAATAAAATGTTACAACTAACTAACAAAATATTTATATGGCTCTAAGTTAATCTTTCTTGACAACAAAACTTTAAGAAAAAAACACGTTCCCGTGGGTCATTGCAGTGTTTTATTGGGCAAAACAGGGACCGAGGTCGAAGTTACAAACGTTTTTGTTCGCCCCGGTTCGTTGTTCCAGTTAAATCAAACGTTCTAAACGTCGGCACACAGGTTTTCTTTTTTTTTTTTATGGGCACAAAATGGTGTATATAATATGCTAAATATTTATTTTGTATTGTAACTTTTTAAGACAAGTAAGCTCCTTGCAAATAAAAAAAAAAGAAAAAAAAAACACCGCCTTAAATGTCAGAGCATACAAAAGCTCTTTGCTGAGATTTATTCAAAGCGGATTGGATCCCTTGTACCCTCCCCGTGTAAAATGTGCTTCCTAGCGATATTCGGACGTAAAACAATTCGTATAAATAATCTAATCAACGCAAATGAATGAATCCTTTCGGACATATCTCCTAAGGAGATTCATTTATTATACTGGAGTTTGATAAATGCATGTGTCTGTAAAAATTTTAAAAAATTTATCCATTTAAATCCCGTTATTAATGCGTACAGGAAGGAAACCGATAACAACCCGGTTGACGCTGATACGCACAAATTTCAAACATAAAACAAGAACACTTTGAGATAACACCTGTAGCAGTTCCAGAAGATTGGAGCATCTATGGAACCGTGTGAGAGTAGCACCATGAACCAGACGGTTTATTTCCGTTTTGTGCAGGATATTTTAGGCTTTGATTATTTCTTTAGAAGCCTACACTCGTGAAATTCAAGAATAATAAATGTACCACCTAGTACACCTTCGTAAAAGGTTTCATCGCCCTAACTTTACTAGCCTATTTTTGCAAATTTATCTTGCGACCAACCAGCGTTCTAGAATACCCAGTCATAGCATCCTATATACTGACGAAGCCTGGCAGATCGCCACGAGAAGCGGCCGCCGAAATGGAAAAGGTGGAGTGGCAGACAACGGATGAGAGGAGAGCCACGTGACTGGCGCCCCACTGCGGCGAGACGCTGAAACACACTTCTCCCGAGCGAACAAGTGTGTTTCGGGTCCTCGCCGCTGCAAAAGCTGTGCGCTGACGTCCAGGTTCCCCTAAGGTTCCCCGAGATATGGAACTTTGATGCTCTGTGCTACCAGATCCTCGCACTTCAAATCTGCGACCGGGCACTCTATGGTTCCGTTGTCGAACTGCAAGGCTTTGATAGTATAGAGGAGGCTATGACCGTGTGTAGTAAAAAGGCTGCCATAAATGATTGACTTAGTCTGTGGGTTTTATGCCCTGCAGATCTTTGACGTGTGCCCTATTGACAAAGAGGATGACGGCGCAAAGCCGACGGAAAATGAGAACGAAGTGGACGGTGGGGAAGGAAGCAAGGAAGAGGAAGAAATCGAAGTCGACGAAGACCTCAAGCGAATGTTTAACGAAGTTGCCGGCGATGAGGGGAAAGTGTGCTGCGAGTCGCTTCAAAGTCTACTCAAGAAGGTTTTTGAAAGAGGTAATGCTACTCTTTTCTTGCTTCATCTAGCCTAATTGTGGTCTTGGCACAATTGTAAGTTACCGAAGATCCTTGGGTTATCATAGGTTATACATTTTTACAGCTCGCTCAAACAGTACGCTGGCACCAAAAATTCAGCAAGTGTGCAATCAAGGAGGTGAAAGTTTAACATAGTAATATTTACCCAATACTGTGGCAGAAGAAGGAAAAGGTATGCAGTGGTAGAAAAAAATTAAGGCAGACAACGTCTGGAACTAGGCTAATGCATGTATTTTATCATCCTCCTTATACACGCACAATAACAGTGCTACAAAACCGCTGAACACAAAAAGTCATACTCACAACACAAAAGATAACGCAAACAACTTTTGAGTGTAAAAGTGCTTTGTGCCCTTTTTTTTTTCTATTTCAAGAGGTATTAAGAGATTATTCTGCCATAGTTTCGGGTTGGTATAACTGTGATTCTATTCACTATAGAAAGGAATTCTTCGATATATTACGCTATAGGCGCGATTATACATTTAGTAAATACACTTCTCCAATAAAAATGTTTAACCAAACTTTGCGTCGGCAAGATATATAGTGCTCCAGCAAATTAAATCAAAGCCTAAATGTTTAGTATACACCAGCTCACTTGCGCCATTACGTTCTGCTCTAAAGCAGGTTCACCAAATTTATTACTAAAACCGGTGTATTGATGATTTTTTAATGTATTCTAAACCTACAACTTTGTTCAGTTACATTCAAATATTGTTTTTTTTAAAGGCTTTATATACGCAGAAAAAAAAAACGTGTCTTTATAGAGCCCAAACATTTAAAACATAACATATTTCAAAGGGTGGGCAATGATTCAGGTAAAAAAAATGGAGGTGCTGTATTACAGAGCATAGTACGTTCATCTGTGAACGGTTGTTTGATTTATGCGGAGAGCAAGTCGTCTTGTTCTTGAGCAGGAGTTGCAGTAACGTCAGAACGACGCCGAGCTATGGTTAGTTTTGATTAGAAGGATAGTGGGTATAGTTCAATTCTAGATGCCTGGAAGTCTACACACTCTTTTTTTTTTTCAATCCGACAATAAAAACTTGGTGTTCTGATATCACCGCAACCCTAGTGCAAGAAGCAGACGGGCCATTTGAGAACGCTTGGTTTTTGTTCCATTTGACCTCTTTCAAGAAGAGCTCTGGGCGTCTCCTCACGCAGTGTCGAATATGTTTAAACTGCGGTTCGCGTCCGCAAAAAGAGTCGCACTCCCTCTTCTGCGTCCTCCTCCTCGACTCATCTGAATAGCGGAGAAGGCAGGAGAGGAAACGCAACTCCCGTTACAGACATCAACCGTAGTTTCACTTTTCACCGCTTGCTGTCGACTTCGCCTGAGAAAGACATCTTGGTAACCCTCAACTTACAGACGGCAATCCTCAAGAGTTCTCCCTGGACATCTGCAGGAGTATGGTGGCCCTCATCGACGTATCCTTTCCGGCGGTGAATTAGTGAACCCGTTGCTAGGCCGGTCAACAACAATACCGTGTTATGCACAGCCGAGTACCTCATGATTGAGGTCTTTCCACACAGGAAACGATTCCCTCGGACTTGTGTCGTGCACGACTTTTGCCGGAGGGAAGAGTAGGTTTTACCTCCGCTTCCGGTTCACAGAAATGGTAAAAACACAGTCGCGCTGTGAAGTTCATTCGTTCGAAAGCGAACCGGGACCGGAAGTTCCGGTTCGCTTTCGAAGGATTACTGTCGTAGGTGAAAGCGGGCGTTCGCTTACGTCCTTGAAATGTGCTCATGACGTCGGTCCCTGGACACAGTCACTCACACATTTTGCTCAGACTGTAAGTTAAAGGGGCCCTCCGGAGCGTTCTGCGATGGTCTATTTATGGCGGTAACTCAATCTACAGGCCCTAGGGATCCTAAAAATCATAAAATTACGGTCATGCACGGCGGATTTCCCTATTAAAATTGCTCTCAAAGTCCCCGGCACGCCCCCCTTTCTGAGATGACCCCGGAAAACGGGAGGGGCATCTCTTTACGTGCCAGCCAATAGCAAGCGAAGGATTCCGGCGTCACTGCGCGTCACCAACGCGGCCGACCGCCGACCCGCGGAGGAATCTCTCGAACACGCGCGGACCTTCGTCAAGGAGCCCGGACTGCCCGGACTTCGTGCTCGGCAGTCGTCGTTCGTCGCACCGCACCGTCGCGCTGCTACCGCAATACGCAGTCGCATTCCACAGATGACAAGGAAAAGTTTGACTCGTTGACGTGGAAGGATCGCAAAGCTGGCTTCGGAGTCGGGATCCACGGGAAGAAGGAACACGTGTCCCGCAAACGCACGCCTGCGGACGCCCCGGGAAGCAGACGAGCCGACGCGCCGATGCATCACCCCCTAGCAACACGCTTGCAGGGAGAAAACATAGTTCGCTGGTTTTGGAGCGATAATTGTGGACTATGTTTCCCGCACCACAATCAGTTTACGTTTTTCTCAAACTCTAATTTACAACAAGCTTAAAAAATGTCGCAATAATAACGTTCGCATTCACCGCGAGATGCAGCATTTCCATTGGTCAAGTTTTAGCGATGGGCAGGGAATGGGGGATTGTCTTCCAAGAGAAAATAGTCCCGATATATTTCTTCTGCCATCTGCTTAATAAACGGTTTTTTAATCTAAAACTTTGTATACATATTAGCTTGCACCTACTACGCAATATAACAACATAAACAGACGATCGCAGAAAGCTCCGGAGGGCCCCTTTAAGGCCTCCGCTGCCGTTATTCGTACGAGGTCCCGATCCTTCCGAAAACATGAAAGGGGAAAAGCTGATGGGAAAGGCGAGAAGGAAAGCCGTGCTGCCTAGCACCCGGCAGTGTGTTAGGAAACGCTTGTGGGTTGTCTTAACTCGGGTGCCTACATGTTTCCGCCGCTCCGCTGTTTAGGGTGGCGACAACGTTTGTGGTACCTGTTGCCGACAAACGAGTGTTGCCTACCTCGTTACCATGGCAACCTCCGCTGTTTTCGTCGACCATTTTGTCACACTCGCCGGTCGTGCGCTCGGACTAAGCCGCTAATCCTCGTTAGGGCTAGGGAGTGCTCACCGCTCCCGTTCCGACGGCGTGATTTCGGCGTTCAATGCCGGTCTTGGCGTTCCATTTTGACGCGGGAATTCGCGTTTCGGTAAAAGCAACGCACGCTTCCTGCTCGCAACCTCAAAATACGAAACATCCGAATAAACAGAGCGACAGCCACGCCATCCCGCTGAGCCTCCGACTCCTCTTATGAACGGACACGGAAGTGGCCCCACAGTGTTGCCGGTGTGTCGAGACTACAGAAACTCAACGTTGTTTACGTTTAGCCAAATAAGAAGTGGGAAAAAATGGAGGTGGGAGAGGATCTGGGAAAGGGATACGAGAAGTTAGCGCCACCCTAAAGCGGAGCGGAAACATGTAGGCACCCTAGGCTTAACACGGTTTCTACAACCAGCATTGCTGTACCGGAAGTGTAGGTTTTTTTCCGGTTCCGGCCCGCTTCGATATGTTCCTTTTTGCCGGGGGGGGGGGGGGGGGGGGAGGAGGAGGAGGAGGCTACCTCCCGCCCTTGTCCTTGGACAAAGGCTGGGAGTGTGCTCGTCACGTACGTCCAGACAACCACTCACACGCTCTGCTGGCTGTCGCCAAGGCCTTGACTGTTGTCAGTTCCCAACCTTCTGAAAACAAGAAAGCGAAGTAGACGACAGTGACGCGGGGTAGGTTAACGTCATCACTGAAAAAACGCGCGCTCAGTGCAACTTTTTTAAAAGAGCGCTTGCCTTGTTTATTATCCACGGCATTTGCTGTGTCCTGTTTGCACAGCCGTTAATGGGGCAGTCAAGTGGATCCTGAAATCCTCTAATTATGGTAGTAACTCTATCTACGGGCTCCTAAGCACCCTAGCAAACACGAACTTACGCTCAGGGGCGTGTGAGTTTTCGATTAGTAATATAATCAAAGATTGTCATACGCCCCTCTTTCTGCGCCCTGCAGCAGACACCAGGGAACGCCATCAAACGTCGGTTTCAAACATAAATTGCTCTATTACGTCTTTTGCACCCAAAGACTTAAAGCTTTTGTAATAATACAGAGCATAACACGCCTAAAAAGTGCAATGCTGGTAACGTTTGGAATCTCCACGCAATGAACTATTTTCATGAGTCAAATTTTGTGGAGGTGGTGGGGATACAGAAATGCCCCCCTCCCAAAAAAGAAAAGATAAAATAGTGCTCTTGTATTTCTATTGCTGCGAGATTACTAGAATGTCTTGTCGTCTCGAAGTGGTCATTTACATTGACTGAAGCCCAATAAATAATATGCCATTAAAACAAGCCTCTGCATTGAGCACTTGATTGCCCCTTTAAGTCAACAGGCCGATCTCGGCGCTCTGGTTCGCGCATTTACACGAACGTCACATCGCCAGGTTCATGAGGTGAGAGAAAGGAGGGCACCCTGTGATCTACGCGTTAGCCTTTAACCGGTTCCCACATTTTCTTACGCGTATCGGGTAAGCCAATCTGGGAGCTAACGCGTGAACCACCGAGGCCTGTTTACCTAAGACTAGCCCTTGTCTGAACCAAGCGATGTGACGTTCGTGAAAACTCACCAGAGTGCCGAAATTGCACCGCTGACTTACTCCCAGAGCATTTCCCAATACGCCGCACGGAAACCTCGCTGGTGGGCTCGCTGAAATCGTAAGCGCGCGTTAAATCGGATACAAATTTCGAACATCTGACTTTTTGCTGCGAGCGCCCCAAATCGTTTCGTGTGCGGAAGCCCTTTGTGCACCGAATCAACATAGCTGCCACACCCTTAAACTCGGCCGTTTACAAAACTGTTCACGCTTCTCTGGTACTGTATGTCGATGAACCGCGTCTGTTTGGTGGCGCTTGCTCGCACGGGAACTCCGTGAAGGTTTAAAAAAGAACGCTCGTGTCACGTCTGAAAAACAAATGTCATCGAATGCTCACCTACGGATTTCAGACGACGCACAATTACATTATAAAGTCTAGGTCAAGTCAGTTGTTAGCTCCTCGACTTGGACGTCTTAGTGGATAGAGCACGGTTCGTAACTTCCTGCAGCATGCCTCCACCTTACTTCTAAATAATAATAATTTAATCATATTTATTCGTCAAGGCACATGACAGTGTGCAATCATTGGGCCGTCTAAGCCTGCAGGGACTTGTGGGACTTGACCCACAAGCCCCTGCCTTGACTTGACTAATAATAATAATAATAATAATAATCATTGTTCAAGAGAGCGGCGGCACCGCACAAAGGCAACAGCCCGTACCATGGAGGCACGCGGCGCCGCGTCTAGTGATGATGATCATGTGATGATATAATAGATACAAAATGAGGACGACGTGCTTCTGTCATTTATTATTTCGACGCTACCTTTTCTCAGCTAATCGATGATTAGATTATTTATTTTGAAATCAAAGAGGCCTTTGCCGGCACGAGGTAGTGCCGAATGTACTTTGTATATATGTTTTGTGTACAGTTGAAATATTTGCAAACACGGCACCCAAACATACAAATCGTTACTCTTTTCTTGAGTAAACTTTTTTTAGATGCGGAGATTTGTTTAATAAGGTCATTTCTTTGAAATAATCTCTGAAAGTAACGATTCCGGGCAGAGGGGCTGAGATATAAGCGTCGCTGGTGCCATTCGATATATATGTTTATTTTATTAATCATCTACGCATCGTATTCCTGAATTTCGGACTAAGCCCTTGATATTGACGTAAAACGTTCTTTGGCTTGTGTTTCCGAATTTTGTGAAACCAAATTAAGTTTCTCCGCCACATTTAGCAGAAAAATTGAGGTGACGTGACCTCAACACTAATTCAGCCCATAATGCAACGCGAGCAGTGTTGCACTATAGGACGTCACAGACCTACACACCAATTTCGCTTTCTGCGCTACGACGTCACTTTGACTTACAAATACCGCTGCGCAAATTACAAAGTGACGTCACTTTGACGTCACTTTGACTTACACAAATTCAGCTTCCCCGCTAGATTTATTGGGAAAATTTACGTCTCCTTTGACTTCAGGAGCAATTCAATTTCCCCGCCAAATCTAGCGAGTAAAATGATGTCACATGACTTCATGTCGCGTGGCTAGTTGCTCCGGATTTCGGGAAACCGGCTGATGTGAAGCCGGATTAAGTTTCCCCTCTAGATATAGCGGGAAAATGGACGTCAGATCACCTCCACACCAATTCAGTTTCCCCGTTAGATTTAGCGAAAAAAATCACGTCCCTTGACCTACCCATAAATTTAGTTTCCCCGCAAAATTTTGCGAGGAAGTTGACGTCACGCGACCTGATGTCACGAGACCTATACACCAATTCAGCTTCCCCGCCAAATTTAGCGGGAAACACACACTACGGGACACCGATTGCATATCCGTGCAGCCACGAAATGCAACTACCGCTAAACGCTTGTGACGCTATAACATTTCACGCGTCCAACAGAATGGCCTAACAATTTGCCCAAACATTTATTCTTCATCAGTTCTACGATGCTTGAAACGCGTCTTCCGCTGTTTTGTTTAGCGTCCTATGCGGGTTGAAACTGAGCGAAAGGAGGAGACTAGAGCGCGGAGGAGACGGCAGAACACCGAGCTCTGATTAGAATCACTAGTGGGTAGACGCAAAGCTAGCTGACTTTATCTTTGCTCCACTGTTCTCTACTCTACTCTCTACTCACAGAGACAAAGGTAGCTGGCTTCCCGTCTACACTTCGTTTCAGCCTAAACTACAGACGCAGCCGTTTCTACAAGCGCGAGCATGCGGCCCTGAACAGTGCTTGCACTGCACGGACGCGCGTGCTAGGCAAGGACGCTGAAAGCCCGGAGCTCGCTCTTGTAGCTCCTGCAACGCGCACACTTGAAGTGAAAAGGAGTGTACTCACTAGGGCATTCCAACTAGAGCTTAGTCTTCCGACGTCCTCATCGTCTCCTTCAATTTCTATACGAAAGTGGTCCCGCAGTAGCAACCAATTACGTCACCTGAGCCTGCGTGTCATGTCGAGGTGCCTAGATTACATAGTGTTTTCAATCGCTCGATCGAGGTCAGGTGGTTTAGAGGCCGTGTTTGCAATGCAAGCTGCGATGAGGGTACGAAACCGTTGGTCGTCTACAAGCGTTTCCACCCCTCCGCTCCCATTCCCCCTCTCCGTGCGACAACGCTACGCGCGTGCACTCGCGACCAATTCGCCCAGAAGGCGGCCGCCGTTAAATTGCAAACGCTTTGTGTGTTTTCAGTCATTAAATATGAGATCTCTGTGCCATGCTGTCATATATTGAACATATCACCGGCTTCTGGAATACGTTATTCATCTTTGACCGCTGCACTATAGGACAACTACACAGGACAGCTTTCGGTGGAAGAATTCGCATTTCTGTACAAGAAAATCAAAGAATGGGAGGTATGTGCAATTACTACGGTGATTTTGTTTTCATTGATGCACATATACAGCTAGCATAGGTGTAGCGATCGAATGTAACCAAGATCGAATGGCATATTTCTTTGAGATGCTCAAAGCGAAAATCAAGATCACTTTTTTATGTTTAATATGTTAATTGTTTTGAAGAAGTTATTTTTTAGGCTTTCCAAACGCCTTATTGAGCTGAGTTTGTATACACCGTCGGATAATTAACTAAAATGTGTTAATTCATTTTTTTCTTAAAGAAATAAACATGTGGTTTTAATTATAAACTTGCAGAGCATCATCGAAAACCACTATATTAGTCAATTGTAGAAATATATAATGCACCTGCATCGTTGTTTTGTTTGTTGTTTTTTTTAAGGGGGGAGGGGGGGGGGGGTCAATATGCACCCGAATTCAACGCGCTCGTGCGGTTTTTTTCGTTTTTTTTTTTTTTTTTTTTTTAAAGATTTGAGTGTTTGCACCACCAACCTTGCACATATTGCACGAGTGGTAGCTCTAGCTCACCACCGCGCTCCGATGCGTTCCAAACCTTTTTACAGCGGAGCTGTTAAGGGATAGTTTCCCCAGGATCGTGTCCCCCGCAAAGAAATGAAGACACCGAACTTAGGACACCTACCGCCATCTATGAGCGACGGCGGCAAGCCAGGTATCTGGTTGCCACCGTCGCTCACAGATGGCGGCAGCCTTTCCACTCTGGCTTGCCAACTTGCGGTCGACCATTACTTTCCATTGACAGCTCCGCTGGTCTTCCTTCGTCACCAAAGTGGAAAGGCTGAAAGTTGTACTTTATTTTATTTTATTTACTGATTTAGTAGTTCCCGATGAAGCTCGGCCAGTTTCAACCAAAAAGAAATAAATGTGTCCATATTTCCTAACTAAATATCTAATAAAAAAGTTTAGCATAGTAATCCGTCATTTCGTTACAATTAGCTTCTTATATTTTATCCCCTGGACGTTTAACTCACCTGTAGGGTCGAAATTGTTCTAGCTTTCTACGGCTTTTATTTTTAGAAAACAAATCAGTGGGAATGAATTCATGAACATCGTACCACGAAAACCGCAACCCCGTCCCCACCCAATTTTTTCTAAAAAGTTTTGTAAAAGCGTGGCCAAACACGGCAACGGTCATTAGAATAATCAATACATGTACCTGTCATAAAAAAAAAAAACGCTTCCTTTTTTAGTGCGAAACAAATTCAAATCTCACGGGGAACTGTTTCGACAGCGTCATCCCGTTGATTCCAAAGCAAACTACAGACATATGAATATCTTGACATCGTTTTATGTACGGTGCAGCCATTAGAGCACCTCTAATGGTATCCATTTTGTTATGGTTTTCAGGCCGCGTTCAAAGAGAGTGATAAGGACTGCACTGGCTATCTCAGCACCTACGAGCTCCGCAACGCGCTTCGCAATGCAGGTGAGGTTACAAAGATAAAAGCAAAACCGCCCGCGTACCGTTTTTTTTTTACTTTTTTTTTTTTTGTATTCTTGCCAGATTACGTATTTTCCGGGCAATAGTCGACGGACTATACGTGTTTGAAGATTAAAATTTTAAGCGGCGCGGAGAATCTACAGGTTCAGAGTACACGAGGATTTGTTTCATCGACTGTATACATTATGACGAAACGTGACGGATTTTCTGAATTACAAGGTATGTTAATGATATCGGAACCCTACAAGCTTCTTTGGAGCTAATAAACCATGCATTATTCCAGGTGTGCCGCGTACGAAAAACTTGTACGCGGGGGATGGGCACCAGGTTCAGACTATGAACCAGGTGCGGCCTGTATAAGGAAAAGCTCTTTTGTGTATGTGTGTTATATTTCAACCTAAACGAGCCCCCGCGAACTATCGCTCGAGAAATACGGTGCTTGGTCAAAAGGAACTGTCATGATTTCACATTGAATTTACGACTACATTTCTTTATGCGACATGCCTATAAGCCTCGAGACGCTAGTGTCATTACTTAGGCGTCTTCTCAGGAAATTTTACGTCAAACGCAAAGATACCTGTTCAAGATTGGGTAACTGGGACGGGTCGAATAGCCCGTCATTTTCGGATAAGGAACCTTTCTTTCAAACCCTGCGGCACCTGGTCAAATTTCACTTATACGTCCGCAACAATTAGCCCAAATACACAAATTGCAGTTAACAAAACAAGAAAGCGACCGAAGTTTGTAGAGAAAAATGCACAAAAAGAACCTCCTTGAGGATTCAAAGTGGCAACCAATTTTTTATGAAAAAACGTTTTTTTTTAAGGCTGACTTAAGGTTTCCCGTATTTCAACCTTCATCCAGGCTACAGCGTAAACCAGCACGTGCTCAAGGGTCTGGTGCTTCGCTACGGACACGACAGGAAGATCGGATTCCAAGACTTCATCGGCTGCGCCGTGAAACTTATGTGCATGATCTGTACGTATACCAGAAGAAAAAAAAAAGGTCATAACAAACTGCTGGGCGGTTGTGTTGCGCGTGAAACCTTTCGGTGTCTCGCTACTTCTGGGATGCTTGCTTGGCTCGTTTGGTCTTGACTGTTGTGCATGGGTCTTCATCGTCTTGTCTGTCTAATTCGATATGTTGTTACTCGGGGTCGCGTCTTCGGGCGTTGGTTTGTTATCGCTTAGCAGCCCACCTGGCCCGTCGAGCTAGTCGTCTTCGTTTAGCCTTATTCTTCTAAGACTGGAGCCTACGCTTTCGGCGCTCTTCGTCGATTAGTTTATCTGCTAACTCAACGCGTAGCATGTACACCTGATAGAAGTTCCTGGAATGAAGATACCGACGATATTCGTCTAAAATCAGCCAATCAGAGTTGAGCTTGGGTATGATGCCATACATGATGTCACACCTGGCTCCTCCAATCAGCACCAAGATAACCGACGGCTTCACAACGTTTTTGGACCCCACCCCTCAAAAACCAATTAAGTTTCACGTTAAAACACTTCGATTGCAATTAGTGTTTTTTTACTAGACTTGAACTCACTTCGTGAAAGAGTGCGCGGTTTTGACCCCGTGAAATAGACCACTTTGAGTACACGCGTCATGTGTGGTCAGTCTTTTTTGCAATGTTTTTCAAGCATTTCTGGTGCCCCGTTTAAAAAACGGTTTTAATGGAGCATGTTTCCAGCTATGAACATATGCTTAGCTTGTAGCTGTGTTGCCGAATCGTACAAAAAAAATTCATTCTTGTGGAGAAGACCAAACTCCAAGGAGTAAGATTAACCTTAATTGGAACGCACGTAAAATATGAAAACTAGTTTTTAAATGCATGTCTTATTTTATGTTCTCGTTCCGACCTTGAATGAAAGTTTACGAGACATGTCCAAAGTTTCGACAACACAGGCATGTAACCACCATAGTCTTCAAGCAGCAGGAGACAAACTATGTGGTAGGCATGGCCAACGTGAACATAGCTGACATTTATTCATTCTTTATTTATTTATGCATACTACCGGCCGCCAAGGGGAAGCCAAGGTAGAAAAAAAACATCGTTGAAAGATCTCAACAAAAAACAAATACAGACCTGTGGTATACCACTGTACCTAAAACTGGTGCACACCACACTCTTTTGCCATAAACAGAACTCTACACAAAGTGTGAAAGCACGTCGTTAACATTTTCTATACGAACAAAAAGGAAACATCACATAATAGAAGCGAAAAGAAAGTGATATACCACGAAATTAATCAACCTGAAATATCAAAATTCTGCTAACTCGTTCAGTAGGTATAAAAACGCAGACACGCAATCTGAAGAAACAGTTGTACAAGCGAGCGAGTTCTATTCGTGGACCTCCAACATTAAGACCACTTATGGCTGATTCTGGAAATCATTTCCCGGCAAAATATTTTGAAATGTCTTCGGCAAGGGCGTTCGCGTGGTCAAAGGCTGGTGGAGGCACGCCGTTCGAGTAGCGCTTTTCAGGCCCAGGCTGGGGGGCCATTTGCCAGCACAATTTTTGCCCGAGCTCTAAGAGGTCGGGCAGCGTGTCTGCCAGACTATATCCGGTATAGTCATATCCTAATTTGGTGAGGTAACCAAACGAAAATATGCTCGCTGATACAGAGATCAAGTCGGAAACAAAGCTATTAAAAAAGACACCCTTTTGTGCTCCGAGAAAAAGTCTAGCAAAAACAACGAAGATAAAGATAATTTTTTAAAGGAAGCCATAGTTACTTGAAGATTCCGTCCAGCTTGCGGAATGTTAGTTTGCTCTGAGACGCACGTTTTATTACACCACTGTAAAAAAATAAAAAAAAAAATGGACGGATAGTGATAAAACTTAGTGCTCGAAGACGCATTACACTTTCAAAGGGGGTGGGCGCAAAAACAAGACTAAGGATTTAAAAAAAAAAGATAATAACAAGAAAATAGAACAAGAAAAACTACGCTGGCAAGTCTTCTTGGAAGCCTTGTAAAGTGGCAAGATGTTTTTGTGTTTTTTTTTCAGAAATTCATACTAAATACAATAAAGCGTTGACGCGTGTGCGGACTGGGCCACACAGCTTTATTAATATTCCCTCCCATTAATTTTTGCTAATTTAAGGTCCGTAAGCTCGCGGACTCTGGTGATGGCAATAGTTCGAAACACTTGCGTTTTCACACATGATAATCACGTTCCAATCAGCAGCATTGACGAGACTATCGTGTCGTCTATGTCAATCTTGATTGGACAGCTTTTACCTTATGGTCCGATTCACTTTACGTTCGACCAAAGCCAAGGCTACCATCCAATTAGGCCAGTGAAGCAGCGTGGAAACGTGATCGTCGTGGCGCTCGTCGTTTTTGTCTATTTCCCATCACAAACTAAATTAATCACGCACAAAAACAAAAGCACACGATCAAAACACATTTGTTGGGCGCGATTGGTTCAGCCCGTGATAGAAAACGGGGAAACGCGACGGATAGATAAATGGATGGATGGATGTTGGATGGCTGTTAATGGCTATACCCTTTCTAACGGGCAATAGGTTGCGCCATCTAGCCTTATACCCTTTGTACCAGGCAGTAGGTTGCGCCACCTAGCCTAAGTCTAGCCTAAACCTTTGTAACGAGCACTATCAGGATGTCCCTTTGACGTATCTTGATTACCTCCACCGGCTTGTTGCGTTCACTGCGGTTAGGGTGAAACGGAGTGTAGCAGACACTGGGTGCTGATATTTTCTTTCTAACACAGATATCTTCGACGAGTGGGATGAAGACAAAGAGAACTGCGTCATGGTCACCAGGAATGAAGTGAGCAACTCGGTTTTGCGTAACGAAACACGTTGCACTCTTGTCGGTGTTGGCTAAAATAATTCCCGATATTGTCCTTGTTATTTTTCTCTTTCAGTGGCTCAAGGTCACCATGTATTGTTAGCGTCTTGCCGAGCAAGGCGGAAATTCGGCGGCGGCACCGAAGCGACCAAGAGATGGGGGCCATCTTCCTTAACACAAAACTTTTTTTTTTTTTTTTTTTTTTTGTCCAGGCGTTGAACGTTAAATAAACAATTATTAACGAAGAAGCTGCATTTATTTATTTTTTTCTATTCCAGTGTACAGTTCGAGCATCCCAAAGAGGAGCTGGTGACGAGTTTGAACTATTTCGTCATATAAATTGTCATATAAATATTTATTTACAGATATTAATCACTTTTTACCGCTATTTCCGCTTTAACTGCTATTTCCAAAGAGGAGCTGATGACGAGTTTGAACTATTTCGTCATATAAATTAGCATATAAATACTTATTTACACATATTGAACGCTTTTCACTGCTATTTCCTCGCTCACGTGGTTACGATCACGGTATTTGTTGTTTTGGTGACCTGTGCTCGCAGCTGGTGTATGGCAATAATGGCCTTCTCCTGAGTGGAGATGTTGAAACGAATCCAGGACCACAAAAAAAGCAGCAAAAAAACAAAACAAGATAACGTAGCTGCTAAGTCCTGTTCCAGTAACAGCTCGGTTTCAGAGGACTTGAGGGCTGCCAATTCTGGTGAGAGCGATAATGACGGAGGAGATATCGAGAGACAACCCACAGTTTCGGATATGTTTGCTGAATTTCTGGCTGACCAGAAAAAGATGGCTCAGGACATAGCTGAAATCAAATTATTCCATGTCAGTTAACTCCCGATTTGACGCTCTTGAAGAACGAGTGGCTGCTCTCTAGTCGCCTTCTGCCACGCCAAGTGTCCCTTGTACATCTTGTGACAATCTGCTTATAGAACTTGAGTCATTGTCTGACATGGTAGACAGACTCGTCTCGAGGAATGACGACATGAAAAACCATTCGCGCAGAAATAACCTAATCTTGCATGGCCTTACGGAAAGGGCAGACGAAACTAGTGAGTCATTACTTTCTAACATATCAGAAAAATTCTCGGATAAACTGAATATTAACTGCCTACGTATTAAAAGGCGCCATAGAATAAGTCCAAAGCACGACGATCGTTCACGTCCTGTCATTATGAAACTCCTTGATTTCCGCGAAAAAAATGGAAGTATTGACGAATTCTCTCAAGCTCAAGGGGTCAGATATTTGTATATCGGAAGACTTCTCCGTTCATGTCCGTTCTGTTCGAAAGAAAATATGGGATGCATCGGCCTCTCTCCGCGACAGTGGCTCCTCCGCCCGCCTTCGATATAGTCATGTGTTCATTAATAATGAGCGATATAATTGGGAGGATAAAACTATCACTCTGGTTAAGTGTTCCTACTACACTGCCCAGTCTGCTACCACCGCCTCATCTACTGGTGGTCGTTCACTCGGCCGCGGTTTAAAAGACGGTTTAAGTGACAACCTTTGTGTCTTGAATGTTAACGCCAGAAGTTTAGTAAATAAGTTCCCTGATGTTCTGTCACTAATATCTTCCCACACTGCTCACATTATTGGAGTCACTGAAACATGGTTACATGATGGCATATATGACACTGAAATTACACCCTCTGGTTTCTGCGTGGTTAGAGGTTATAGGAAGTACGGGCGTGGAGGTGGCGTCGCACTCTTTTTAAAGATCAATATTAAATTTTCAGTAATACAGGGCCCTCCCCAGATTGAATCAGTGTGGTTCAAACTTAATGTGGAAAAAATATCTTTAGTTGTTGGCGTTGTCTACCGCCCTCCCGGCTCTCCTATTGATCAGTTACACGCTTTATGTGACTTCATGTACGAGCATAACCTGTTTTCTTCTAACTTAATATTAATGGGTGATTTTAATTTACCTGGTATCCAGTGGTCGTCTTTTTCGCTATCTGGTCCTGACGTTCAAATATCTAGAGACTTAGTGAACTTTTCGTTGTCATTTGGTTTAAAGCAGATCGTTCAGGAGTGCACGAGAGAGTCGTCAGTTTTAGATTTGGTCTTTCTTAGTATACCTCTTCTAGAAAACCATTTTGAATGTGAAGTCGTTGACGGTATATCAGATTATAAGGCAGTCTTTGTTTCTGTTGCTTATTCGTTTCCTAAAACGCGTTTTGTTTACCACACTTTTCCTGATTTTAACAGTGCCGATGACGTGTCCATAATTGACTCATTAAGCTATTCCTTTGAAGTAATTGAACAACTTAGTTTTTCCAGTGACGTAAATGTACTCGTTACATTTTTTTTTTTTGAAGACTTGGTTAAATCGTGTATCCAGCGATTTGTGTCACTCAAAACTAAAAGAACACTGTCACTCCTTGGGTAACAAGGGAATTTTTACATTTATCGCGACGTGTCGGCAGAGTGCGGCGTGGAAAACGTTGCGCTGACCCTGTTAAGAGTGCTCAGTTTATTCAAGCTAAGGAGAAACTCCGACTTAAAACTAACTCCGCGAAAGACTTCTATTTCCGAGTTACATTGCAAAACTTAATAAAAAGCAACCCTCGAAAATTCTGTAAATCTATTTTACCAGGCAGCACGACTTAAAACTCGTTTATAATTAACGCCGTAACTACCATGGACGCGCTGACAATCGCTACAGCGTTCAATAGATACTTTCAGTCAGAATTTGCAGTTGATAATTTCGAAGTTCTTCCTTTTATTCATGTTTCGCAGTCTGCGTTTGACGACATAGATGTGAACGTTCGGGGTGTACTAAACCTGATTTTGAAGTTAGATACTAAAAAAGTCCTGGTCCTGATGACATTTCTAATTCATTTATTTTCCGGTACTCCCTTTGGTGCAGTCGGTATCTCACGGTTATTTTTCAGAAATCACTGTCAACGGCCACAGTTCCTTCATCTTTTGGAAACTCTCAAAGATCATTCCCTTATACAAATCTGGCAACTCACAATCACTGTCAAACTACAGACCAATTTCTATAACGTCACATTCATGCAAATTATTGGAACATATAATCTACAAGCATGTAATGAAGTTTCTCGAAACCAACAATATTTTTTTGCGATTTCCAACATGGTTTTCGACGCGATTATAGTACTGTGACACAACTAAGAGAATTTGTTCATGATATTGGTCAGTATCTTGATATCGGTAGTCAAGCTGATGCGATATTTATAGATTTGTCAAAGGCTTTCGACACAGTTCCTCATTCTAAACTTCTACACAAGCTTAGCCTAATTCTAAATAATCACCACCTGGTCAACTGGATATCCAGTTTTCTTTCTCGTCGGTCACAGTTTGTCCACTTTAACTCATCCAAATCTAGTACAGTTGATGTATCATCAGGTGTTCCACAAGGATCAGTTCTTAGACCGCTGCTTTTCTTGTTATACATCAATGATTTGCCACGATATAATTCCACGGAGATACGACTTTACGCTGACGACTGCGTACTATATCACGTGATAAACTCCACCGATGACCATATAACTCTTAACAATTCTTTTGTGAATTTTTGTACGTGGATTAAAAACCTGGCAAATGAACCTGAAGTTTCGTAAAACCGTTTATGACCTTTTCTAGGCGTTCACCACCTTCTTTGTTCAATTATTCATTTGACGGGTTATGCCTAGAAAGAGTTTTTGAATATAAATATCGTGGCCTTCTTTTCACGCCTCATTTATCTTGGTCTAAGCACAATGATACGACATGTAACAAATCTCTCAAAAGACTTAGATACCTGCGGCGTACCTTATGGGTGGCACCTCAAGGTACTAAGCTTTTAACTTTTGAAAGTTTGATTCACCCAATCGTCGAATATGGTTTTTGTTGAAAGAACGGCTGACTGGTCGTTAGTAGATGAAGCCAACAACAGCATTTATATACAAATGTTTACATTAAAATGTCCGGCATCGTCCGCTCATGGCCAGGCCTCGATCCATCTCGTCCATTCTATTCCACGAGCTCCCGCTTCTTCTTCCTCTTTGTCGGAAAGCCCGCTTCCATACAATAAGTTTCAACACACTCCCCCCCGCAAGAAGAAGAAATAGCTGATGTGCCGTTGCATTAAAGTTGAAAGTTGGAAGAAAGATAATTCTGACCTTCTCTGGACGTCCATGCTTCCCGGAAGGTCGCGTTGGTAGCCTGGCAAATATTTTATCATTGCCGTTTAGGTTGTTCTGTGTCACTTCATGTCTGCCATTTGCATAGAATTCAGCGACGATGTCTTGCCTTGTGGGAGCGAGCGATTTAGTCTTCCATCCTTCATTCCATTGAATCTGGAAGTCAATCGTGCAGCCACGTGTATTAAAACCACGGGGACGGGACAAGGCGCGAGGTGTACGATACGCTCTTTTCCTAATCTCCTTTATAGCTCTCGTTAGGCGCTGATGTATGCCGATTCTTTGTTTTGTGCTTCGTTGCTCGTATAGTCTCCCTAGCTTCTTAAATTGCTTGTTTCGTTGAGGAGGTCGTTTGACATTCCTGTTCAAGAAGGTTCCATTTATTTGTTTAGTTGCTTTGGCACGGTTCCGTTTCTTCCTATTTTTTTTGTGCTTTTCTGACTCTATTCTTCTTTGTTTTCAACTCGCCTTCGTTTTGAATGTGAGGACTTCTGTGAGTGCCGGCTTCATACTCTTTCTTGAAACCAGACATGACTTCTTCACCAGTTAGCATGTAGACTATGTTCTTCGATGAAGTCGCCTGTACGGGGTTGTCGTCCAGTAGCGTATTGGTCACCTTTGTCGTTCCAGTTGATGCGCATCTGTCCTTCGTCTGCTGCTCTGATTTATGTTCTGTGACTAGACGATCGTCAGCGTAGTCTGTTGTCACACCGGTGACAGTTCCGAGTTCATAATTGCTGCTGTAAGGCTGAGTTTGTCTCACGAGATGTGGTCTTATGGAACTCCTATCTGATATATTACGTTGTTTAGATCATTTTGGCTTTTCTCTCTCTATTTTTTCCAGTTTTGTGACCTGCTGATTGACTAGTTGTGCTTTAATCATCAGCATTGATAGATGTCCTACGATGCGGTCGTTTAGTTCTATGACGTGAGTGTATTCTTCTTCAAGTTCTTCGTTGGGTATGAATGGCTCAATAGCATCATCCAGGTACTTAAGTTGACATTCATAGTGTGTTAGCATCTCGATGATTTCGTTAAATTGTCCGGCTGTCGTTGTTTCTGGCATTGCTTTCTCCAGA